GGTTTGGAGCTGTAAAGGGCAATTTCAGCACAGATACCAGCAAGGTTTTCTTTAAGCAGTGGAAAATCAATGACTAGAGGATATTGCCAGTAAAGTTAGTAGCGGCCAAGACATTTGACTCATTTAAAAAGCAGCTTGATGAACTGATGGGGTGGGGTGAACAACAGGGTAGGTATTCTGGAGAGAATAGATCAGATTAGTCCAATGGCCTTCTTCATCCAAACCAATCTTATAAGCTTGTGAAGCAATACTTCAGCAGGAATTTCCAGTTATTGAAGCACTGATCTGACCAGTTAAAACAAATTTGATTCGGACTTTTTGCATGGTTACGGCAAACAAACTGGACCCAAAGAATCACTATTGAATCTAACTAGAGTTTTGCTTGGCTCATAGAAAGGATTGCTGACTTGGCTTGAAGTCACTGAAGTATAATCCTTGGCGCCCAGTTCCAGTTCCAAATTAAATTCATACAGCTGGCAGTCTGATCTTCCTGAAACTTCTTCCCTTGCATATGAATCAAACCGTGATTGGAATAATGCAGTTGACAGTGCAAATAACTAACCACATTCAGGATATAGAGAAAGTGTAGACAAAATTCTTTGCTGAGTCATTGTGAAGTAGAACATAGTTCACCCAACCAAAAATGCTTTGAAGCCCTACAAAAGTGATTAGATCAAAACTGGTTGCTTTGTAAGAATTGGCTTCAAACCCAGTAAGGGCTTGTTTCCAGCATTAGCTTCATCAGTCCATCTAACCCTTATACACATATGGACCTGCTGGACTGAAATTGGCAAACAAACATTTTTCAGACCTGCAATATCTTATAATATCTTATTTCTACAAACACTGGATAACATGCATCTCTGCGCTCAAAGTAAACTGTGTGATGGCTATCCACAGCGGATATAAAACGACTGAATTTCAACAAGTCGTACAATTACTAAAATTGCAAGCTCTGTTATGAGGCCCAAAAGGGATGTTATTATTATACATGACCTGGAGTTCGGATGGCTCATATATCTAATATCGGGATATTTATTCCCTATAGATAACCATAACATTACATGATACAGCTTTTATTGATATTATTATTTTAGGTTTCAGCTTGTAGTTTTTTACACTGGCCCATTTAGTACAGACATGATTTCTGTATCATCCAAAACTCTGCAGCTCGTGTACTCTCACGCACCAGGCTCCACGACCCCATCACTCCCACCCCTCTCCGACTCCACTGGCTCCCCATCCCCTAGAGGATCGAGTTCAAGATCCTCGTCCTCACCTTTAAGGCCATCCATGGCCTCGCCCCTCCTACCTCTCTGACCTGCTGACTCCCTACCAACCTGCCCGCTCCCTCCTTTCATCGGGCTCCGGCTGCTCCATGTCTCCCGCCCTACCATCGGTGGCCGGGCTTTCAGCCTCTCTGCCCCCACACTCTGAAACTCCATCCCACGGTCCCTTCACCTCGCTTCCTCCCTCGCCTCCTTCAAGGCCGGTATCAAGACCCTTCTCCTCGACAGTGCCCTTGGTCTCCCTGTCACCTCTCTGCCTTCCCTCACCCCTATACCACCCCCCCACCCCATGCTCGGGCCCCGACACCTGACTGTTCAGCGAATGGGGACGTCCTCTCGACGTGAAAGGCGCTCTATAAATGTCATTTTGTTGTTGTTGTTGTAAAAAGGGTAGTATTTCAAGGGTTAAACGTTTATGTGCATCGTGGGGTGGAAGGAGCAAAATCAGGACCTCAGTATGTTTACAAAATTATTTAGTGATATTTTTGTAAGGCTGTCAAACCATATCTGTCTTTAGGATTGTGCATGTCCAAGAATATTGTCACCTTGTATTAATGTGATCTGCTTTTAACGATTGGTTCTGAATGAAATGGAAGATGCTGATTGCTCTATCGGTGCTAAATCACATTATTCATTCAATTCTCTTTACAGTCTATTCTGCGAAGCGCTTTGAGACGTCTGGAAGACGTGAAAAGCGCTGTATCAAATGCAAGTATTATTATTGTTATTATTAATTATTATATAACAGGAGGCACGCGGTATTGGAAACAGCTGCTGCAAATCCAAGTTCAATAAAGCGTTCAACACCAAAATCTGTCGGAACTTTAGTAAACTACGCACGCCGTTGATCGCACTACATTAAAATATAGTACTGGTGCCTTTCTGACAAGAATGATTACTGCGTCTTTTACATTTTAGACGATTTGCTTTGGATCAACTTGGTGGAGTGATTGTATTCCTTTCATCATGACTATGGCAAAAACTTTCTGCACTCAAACATTTGGCACTCAAGGCTCCCCAGGAATAGGTATCCTAACTGAGGATTCACTCAGCGAGGCAACCCTCCCTTCCTCAATGAGCTTCCCTTCATTCCCGTCTCCTCTACTCCCCTCTCCTCCACTCCCCTCTCCTCACCCTCTCCTCTACTCCCCCGTTTCTCATGTCTGCGTTATGTTCTGACTCAAATACATTAAAGACCTTTCTAACATCAAAAGATTCATTAAAAAAAGTGAGGTTTGCGAGGTCAAGGGTTAGAGGTCGATAAACAACGACTGCTGAACATTTGTTCTTCTAACCATTGAGATCGCCATTTAAACTTGTGCTCTGGAGAATGTTAGGAATGGGCTCACAGAATGTTTGATGAATTGTGTTGCTCCTTCTACAATTTGGGGAACAGCTCCTGATCTAGTTACAGTTAAAGCCCAAGTCAGAATTGGTTGGCCCAAGGAAGCCAACGTTTCTTTGGAACTTACCGGGAGATAGGGATTAGTTACGAATGGTAAGACTGATAACAAGCAAAAAAAAAAGGATAGCAGGAAGTAGATGTTACGGTGGTACATTTTAACCACAGTTTGTTACACCTTGTGTGAGAAGTATCTTATGACTGCTCGCTGCGTATTCATATGAATAGCTCTTACGCAGCAGATATTCTCAATCGCTTACATGTGTTCTTTAATTGGCTGTACCTTAACACAAGAAAGTTCGAATGTGTTACAACTTGAGAGACAGAGACATGATCAGTGGCAGATGCAATTTCTGCCCCTACTATTGATTTCAATGCTCCCACTATTGTAAATTATGCCACGAAGAGAAAAGGACCACTACAAAGAGAGCTGACATGACAGATGTTAAAATTACTTATTAACAAGTTTATTCCAGCTGTTTTACATTGGTCTTTTCCAACTGGAAACGACACACACTGGTCTTTCTGTCAGATTAACCCTTTCAAGATTTTGTGGCTTTTTTTTTTAAAAATTCAGTTTTCAAGTAGAAATTCCTTCATTATGAGCATTCATCACCAGTTTATACACTCAGTGACATGAGAAATTTTATCCTCTGAGCAATTGACTACCGTCTCATAACAATGACAATTTGCACAGCAATTTAAACAGATTTTTTTGGGGGGAAAAATACCTTTTGTTAATTCTATTTCTACACTTTCAACAGTGTACAATTTATACAAACGTTCTGCTCGTACACTTGATTGTGTGAATGTTCTTGTTTGCCCTGAATACACAGTTGCTAGCCTTTGTCATTTGCCCTTCGAATCGAATATGTACTTGCTGCTATTTGTTCTGATTACAGGTTGCACTGGTTACTGTTTACGACTCTAGTGTCTGTATGTCGCTGTGGTTTTCCTTGACCACACCGCTAATTCCATGTACAGTGCTTATGAAAGGTCTTTTCTGAAATGTTACTCCATATTTTTNCTTTCTTATTTCAAAACTGCAGCATTCACAATTTTTCTTTTCATTTTCGGTACCATACTTTGAAAGAACATTGTTCTTTGGCAAGTTTCAAACTCAATGGAAGCAGACACGCAATAACAGATCTAAGGCGTGTGGTTTTGTACGAATATGTTTGGTGGGACAAATCTAGTGAAACGAGCACAACCGTAGTCAAATTGGCAAAGGGAAGTCTTCAACAGCTGAGTTTTAAAATGTGTGTTTGAATTACTAATGTGCAGCATTTGATTGTTCTGAGAAAGAGGAGACTGCTCAGTTCACCTACGGAATATACAGTTACTACACTTCACAGTAAATCCTTTGGAGCCCTTTGAGACCTTTCGACAACATGATAAGGCGGTGTATCAGATTGCAAAGATTATTATTATTATTTAAGATTAAAAAATTAATGCCAACGACTGCAGCAGCTGACAATACATGATTTATGAGAGAATTTCTCACCATCTCCAACAGCTCTGTTTGACCTATTCTGGTTTCACTTTCAGCTGTTTTTTTTTATTCAAAATATAATCGTAACTGAGGGAGAAGTTCACTGAAACATTATTCTCTCACGGTACAGCAGAGATTTACAGCTGTCACGCTCCAGTAGGGGGAGTAGCTGCTTGAGTACACAGTGCAAACTACTCATCCAACCAACTTGGTGTCCCAAGTTTGCTGATCGCTAAAAATAGTGATCTTTCATTCCTTATCAAAAAAGCGAAACAAAACGATTGCTACCCGCTGGTGCTCAGTAAATGATGGGCCCCACGATTTACTCACTTTGGGTTGAAAATTGCATTTTTACACTCAGTCTATGATCATTTCAAGTCCTAATACCATTTGCCCTTTATACGTCTCAACTCGTGTTTGTATCTTACAGCTATAAGGTATTAACTGAGCAGTTGCACTGTGATCATGATGGTTAAAAATAACACCTCTAAACAAGGTATAACAACATGGCTAATAACATTCTGAAAGGGGTTGTATTACGCAGACGCATCACTTTACAGTGTATCCTGTGAAGGGCTTTGAGACGTGTGACAACGTGATAAGGAGTTATATCAAACGGAAGGATTTATTATTATTATGATGATGATGTCTGGTACGTTTGACATTTCGTGTGAATGGTTACATGAAACGATGCAAGTAACATATGACATATTCCATGTGAAGGAGGAACTCACTCTCAGTTTGGATACACTTCAGTCTGGTGAGGAGTTCTGCAAGAGTCAGACACTTGACAAATTCCAAAACAAATTCCTCTTACCTCAAAGCCGGGGGCTCCTGGTATTCCATGAGGACCTCTATCACCAAGTTTTCCCTAGGAAAAAGTACAGTAAGTAAATCAGGAAATATGTCCAAACAGTGATGATATTTTTAATCATGTGAATCTTACAAAGAATATTAATATGTTGGGATTTGGTCTGCACTGCTGTTCTTTTTTAAATGGCTCAAGAAATGCAGCCGGAGCAGTTTATCACTCATATTGTTACTAATTATTTCCATTTCTAGTCTTGATAATACATCCCCCAACCCAATTTCCAACAAGCTCACGATGGTGGCATGACTTTGTCTGAATATATAATGATTTAAAGAGCTATCATGTGCGAAAAAATTATTTTCACTGTAGTGATTATATAATTTAGAAATACATAGCTCCTTTCACGTTGGGAGGATATCTCAAAACGCTTAACACTGTCGGCTCGGTACCCGAACTTGGGGAGCAAACCAAAGGGAGGGCACGGATGACCGAAAGCATGGTCAAAAGAGGACCTTGAACAAGGTGAGGGAGGTGGGGAGTTGGAGGAACTGTGAGACGAACTTCCAGAGAGTAGGGACTGAAAAGACTTGATTTTTTTTAAGCACACAGTCCTTTTAAGTCATTTGTAAATATGGAAAAATAAGAACTACGTGAATGGTTAGACACTCACAGCGATCCCGGGTTTCCCTCTGACTCCAGGCATTCCCTGAAATCCTGGATTACCCTGTAGTAGGAAAAAAAAGTGCTTCAATCAGTGACCCTGCTTCAGAATAATATTATGTTGATTATTCATGCTATACTTGGGACTTGCCCCAATGCTCTTTCACAAAGAACACAAGCCCCACATCAAGGTGTAAGCCTAGTTAGTGGCTCTACTCAATTACTTTAACCTTAAATGTTCATGTACATTTACTGGTTCTTGCTACATAACTCAGACCCATCAAATACTTTCAACAAATGCAGTAGCAGACAAAATGATCAACTTCAGGCGCATTTATAGCATCTTGAAATAATAATTTCATCTCTGGGATCAATTACGCGTGGAAGGGAATTTAATATTTCTTGTGGCATAACGTTACTTAGAAAACATTATGCCACCAAAGGACAATCATGAGATGGGATTTTAACAGCGCTGGAGGAAGATACAGAATTGAATGCAGATAACAAACAATTTACATTTATACAGTCCTTTCACATCGGGAGGATTTCTCAAAGCGCTTAACACTGCTGGCTGGGAACCCAAGCTTAGGGCAGGAAAGCAAGGGGGATGGAAAGGGGAAAGACCACCAAAAGCATTGTCAACGTGGTACATCTTCAGATGGACCTTGAATGAAGTAAGGCAAGAAAGGCTCCCAGCTGTAAACCCACCCGCTGTTGCTGGGACAGATAGGACCAGGGACACGAAGCAGGGTGGTGTTCACTGAACTATATGGTGCTTAGGGTGTCCTTTCACACACAGGATAGGAACAGTACGTGTACAGTATGAAGAACAGTATTGTGTACAGCACAGCTGAAGGCCGTTTGACCCATCGTATCTGTGCTGGCTCTCTCAAGAGCAATCCTTTCAGTCCCATTTACCCGCTGTTTCTCCATACTCCTGTAGCTGACTCTTTTTCAGATAATTGTCTACTTCCCTCTTGAAGGTCAATATGTATTCTGCCTCAGCCATCGCTCCTGGCAAGGCATTCCATATCCTAAGAATCCTGTGTTTGAAAAAANTCCTCCTAACTTCTGCGTTTGCTTATTTACTAACTATCTTAAATCGATGCCCTCTAAAGTTACCATCTCACTGACCAGCAGAAATAATTTCTCCCAATCGATTCTATCGAAACCCCTCCTAGCTTTGAAAACCTATAAAGTGGAGTGACTATTTTTTGGGCGGACCGAACGCGACAGCCAATTTGTGGATGGCAAACTTCTGGCGTGGACTGGAAGCCCCGTCATCTCGTGCCGGGACGTACACCGAACATAACTGTCCACAGGACACCCCCGTCTGAAGCAGACTCACGCTCTGATAATGGGGTCACCGTGTATTTTGGTGGGTCTCGTGTGTTCCATGCAATGGACCAAGTTATGTGCACACAACTTAGTTGAGTCTTTGTCATGTCTGCGTGTCTCACCATTGGATGCTCACGTTGTCAGCTGTAGAGAACTGTGTGGATAGTTATTTTGACTACCTGTGGTTTGTGCACGATAGTCTCTACGACTAGCTAATGATTTGCATGTCCTCCATTTCCGTGGTAGCCCAGAGTACTATACCTCGTATCTATTGGAACTTTCTGCTTATCTGACGGCTACGTTTGGAATCTCTAGAGGTCTTCTTTTTCCCCCATTTCCAAGGGGTCCATTTCCTTGGCAGTCAAACGAAGAACCTCTGTACTTTTGTTCCTGATAGCTGACGGCTTCTGCGGTTGTGCAGTGCCTTCCTGGGAATGTTAGGGAACTCATTGCTGCCCTACTATGGTTAGGAGTTATTCTGATTTAATTCCTAAAACACTGGTAGGTACAAGATTATGCAGTCAATGACAATCAATAAAAGGAACAAATTCAAAATATGCAGCAATCAGATAACTGTGAGGCTAGGGCATCTTTCGCCTAACTAGCTCTTTGCTACGTTACAAGCTGCTCAAAACCGAGAAAAATATTACGCATTGACTGCCCTTTACTGAAGATAATATACGTTTTTAAGACGACATTGGGAAAAACAAAATAACTATACATTTTCAACTCATTCCTTGAAATCACAAAAAATCAAACTATTCATAAAACTTACCTTATCGCCAGGAAAACCCAGCTCTCCTGGTATTCCTGGTATGCCCTCGTCACCCTAAACTCACAGTATAAGACATCACAGTGTTAGAGCATTGCTTTGTCTCTCTAAATGCACAGTAGAGCAGTACAGAGCGATAGCATTCGCGCATTACCTCTGCTACACAGCAGAGTTTGACCACTATTTCATCACTTGATCACAACTTGAAACAATATGCAATGCATGCAATGTTGGAGCATTGCCTTGTAAATCTAAATCCATGGAATACAACATTGCTTTACAACTCCAGTCACTGCATAGCGCAATGCTGAGACGTTGTCTCAAATGGCCAAGGTACATCTCTATGGATTTCCAACATTGCCTTGTCGCTGTAATACTGTACAACAGCAGTTACCTCATGACTCGTACATACATACTAACATGCACAAACAGGTAGAAGTGCTCCACTCAATATTTTGACACACTTTCCACAGCTCGTCTCTTTCATTCGAATGAAACTGCTCATTTTACAATCATCTGTTCTCTAAATAGCCACATTTTCTCTTGAAAATGGAAAAACAGGCGCATTATGAGGAGGTACGCGGCTCATCACATTCTGCTCCACACCAAATTGGGTTAATTTGTGCGCGTTGTACTTTATCAATTTGTGCGTCCAAATGCTTCACAGTTCCTACTTTTTATATGAATATTCCTTCAATGACATCCTCCTGCTGGTGCTAGGTACGGATACTCTAGAGAAATACACAGCATCAGCTTAACTGACTTTCAGATTGAGGTCTCCAACACTGTTAGGGTGACCAACTGATGAGTGAAACTGAGATAACTCAGTTATCACAACCAAGACACCAGGACAAGAGGGGAGGTGATTTATCAGAGAGGATTTCATGATAGTCCATTAATTTGTCAGGTTTAAAACTGTAGAACGCTGGTAAATTTTTGTCTGTAGCTGGCAGGAGCCAACCAGAGACTCAAAGCTTGCAGGGTTCGGTTTCTTTGTTATGTACATGCTATATTTTTTTGAGCTCTTCAAGAAACTAGTTTTTAATAGATTTGCCCGCCATGAGGCTGGAAATCTCTGAGCTCACCATTGAACACTGAACGGAAATCAAATGAACTGTATTGTTAAACTGAACAGTTTGCTATATATTCGAAAAAATGTTAAATCATAATGAAACTGAATCCCAAAAAGCATTGCTGAACAATTATGATCATCATATCCTGTAAACCCAAGAAATATGAATACATGTAGTAAGATAACCTACAAACAATTGCACTTTGATGCAGATTACACATTCTGAAAGAGATATACCATGACTATCCATCCTTACATACGCTTTGGCCATGTTTAGCTTGCTGAGGTAATACCAGAATTGAACAGTCTATGCAGCTCGCAAAATAAACATATGTTTTCCATTGCACTAAATATTTACAAAAAACATCTGCATGATGCTAAATATTGAAAAGTAAAATTGGCTTAACATGTATAAGGAACATTTCTCTTGCAGCTGTAGTCTTGAAGCAAACCTCAAATATTCAAGTCTGGTCTGGTTATATTTTTCATGATGTTGCAGTCATTAAAGAGTAAAATAAAAGTTTACATGCAAAGCTTTACGTGCAAACATTATCCATGGTCATGCAATATATTGGGTGGTGACAGAATATGGAGCATTTGAAAGGTGTACATTAGACCAGATTCGTATCAGTGTTAGGCATCAGGATTTTGCTGTGGTATAACTACTGGCGTGATGCTTTGGTGTACGACATGCTTGAAACAGAGTGGGAAAATGAGAGCTTGCAGCATGATTCCCCAGACTTTCGGGTCCCAATCTCAGCCACGGCCCCAGGAAAATACCAGCGGAGGTATTTTTTCCCCTCAGCGGGCAGCTTCTAAAAAACGAAATCACCCCATAACTGCTCTGGTGCATTTCTTAGAACACAGTTAAGGAGAGCAATATCGACCGCAAACCTGCCTTCACGTGGGATCGAAAAGATCAGGAAATGAGATGGGTGGAAATTGGATCATGATTTTAAGGGATATGTAAACTCTTTCCCTAAAATTGAATAGAACTAAATCATAGTAAAACGAAGGAGTATTAAAACGTTGCGTTATAAGCTTCAAACTCAATGCTCGAAGTAATATTTCATGTCTGAGGCAGAAATATTAACGCAGTGTTACAAGAAAATATTACTGTATTAGTGTGAAAGATCATTACGCTCCAGGGTTATAAAAAGACTTGCCAATGTTATCTTAGTGCAACAACAGGTATTATAAACAAAAACAGAAGTGGCTGGGAACACTCAGCAGGTCAGGCAGCATCTATGGAGAAAGTAAAGTGAGTCGACGTTTCGGGTCCACGACCCTTCGTCAGAACGCAACAGGTATTATAGCAGTGCTCTAAGGGAGTATCATTGAAAGGTGTATTATGTACAAGCATTATTATTGCACAAGGCGGTTTGAAACAGTATTAATACAACATCATAGTGCAAAAGGGGAATATTAAACAGTGCTAGAAGGGAAGATTAGTAATACATCACAGTGCAATAAGGGAGTATTCAGATCACCTTATCACCTTTCAGTCCTGGTTCTCCTGGGTTGCCCATTATGCCCTATAAAAACAAGCAGACAGGGTTACAGAAGATGAAAAAGGTCACGACGGCATTCAATGCCAAATTACTCAATAATACATCCAATGCAGTATTACTGACTCGTACTGACTGGTAATAAGTCTTCCTTCCCAACCCCCCCCCCCCCCCACACACACCCCACACACCAACTGATAGTAAACCAGACCAAAAAAATAGATAACTACTTTATAACAGAGAAACAAGGCAGAGAAATGCAAGTTAAAAATCAAAGGCTAGAAGGTGAGATAAAGAGTATGGTTATTAAACAAATGATTTAATAATTCACTCTTAGCAAAACATTACTCTGTGACAGAGGGCAGGCAACTTGTTCTAAGGCTCTCACTGTGGAACTCAAGCCATTCTCTAGGACTGATCCTCTGAAGTTCTCTTTCTTCTCAGTTTTGCTCAGAACAGCAATTCGCAGCGTGAGGATTGACAAATGAGCCCAATGTCAAACCACCGTGTCCCAAGGCTACCTCCAAACAATCAAGTTTTTTTTACAACAAATTCACTACATTTTACACCCAGATTTGGTTGACTATGCTATAGACATTTATCATCAATAAGAGCGTTGTAGCTTGGGAATGATATAAATATATACGCAGTTGTGCTTATCTATAAGTAAAAACAATCAAAATAGGTCACGTTTTTGAACCAAAATGCATCCTAAAGACTATAATGGACAGGACTATTTATTGAAAATGTTACTTAGGGTTGTAATTCTTTATTGTGATTGACTTACCATTAAATGGTGTAGCATAATGCATGATATCCTAATCATGAACACAATTCCTGTACATATGTTCTCTGTATATAAAGTACTGTACTACACACAGACAGAGCTGTTGCATTATACACTCACATAGTTCCTCTGAAAAATACCTGTATGGTCTATTTCAAATAACTATGCTCTATGATGCATTCACATTGCTATTTATGCCAAATAAGAAACATCAACAAATATTCAATCCTCATCAGAAAACCCAGCAGAAAATGCCACTGGACAAATTAATATTCCAAATTGTGACTTGAGGAAATAAAACTTTTTGTTAAGTTTCAGTTATTATCAATACATTGTCTGCTGCAAAATTAGCAATATTTCAATTACTATTGAGTACTTTGTTGACTGCAGTAGATCCATTTTGACAAGAGATCTAAAACATACGCTGATTATAGAGGAAACAATATTAAACAAATATACGGGACTACAATTTGCACTATTTTCAACATTATCAAGTATTAAACTTATTGAGCATTAATATTCTTTACTCAACCGGTTGAGAACTCTTCGATTCTCAAGTAGCAAATACTACATTTTGGTCTTCGATTAGAAACCTTGCCATTTTCAGTTAGAATGACTGCAGTATAGAAAGCCTCTTCAGTAATCCAATCCAGCAAAGAAACAATTACTGAGGATCTGATCAATCATTACAGTCTTAAAATGAAAAACCTCACCTTCGGTCCTCGTATTCCATTCATTCCCATCTTCCCAACAAGCCCCATGTCACCCTGCCAATAAAATAAACTGGGCAGTTAAAGACTGTGGCTCTTATTAACACTAATAAATACACTGAGTGAGTTGAAAACAGTCAAATTCTGCATGAAAAAGTACATTTCAATACGACTGATAATAGAATTGGAGCTGAAGCATTCATAGATGAGGCCCAGCTCAGGTCATACAACACAAATGCCGTTCTGACGCCAAGTCACAACATTTTCATTTCCTACATTTCCAACTGTTATGGCACCTTTTGTACTTATTAAGACTTACTAATTGCCAATTAGTCCACACTAATGCTGTTTAGTGCTACACTTGAGAATAGATATTTACAGTGGGCTCACTCCCACTGGGGGCTGTTGAAACTCATTTGATTGAGGTCCATGAGACAACTGTGAGACAGGAGGCTGATTTTTCTACCCGAACTGGGTTTGGCTTTAGATCTTAGGGGTCTAAAATACTAAAATACCACCATAGTAAAATACTGTAACAACTTTTTTTTGTGTGCAAGTGGAGCTTAAAGATTTTAAATGTAATCTCTACTGCCCCGCCAGCTACTATTAAATCACATAACATTTACTTCCACATAACTTTCTAAATTGTCTCAACTCCCAACAGTCTGCAAATTGGTTCAATTTATGTTTTGCTCTGTTATTCTTATTTGGATAATGAAACCGTTGCGCATGGGCTAAGAATTACCCAGGCACAAACACCTTGATTTTCAAATAATTCGGGATTTTATGAATAATTCATGATTTTAAGCATGGAAAAGGTATAATGGCAATACAGATTATTTGGACAGCATAAGAAACAGCTGAAGAACATCTATAATAATAATAATAATCCTTGCATTTGCTCCATAGCAATTTACTGGAGAGAAAAGTGAAAACACGTTGATTAGTTCTAAAATGTCTGGGATGGGTAAAGGCGCAGTCAGCTGGTGAAGTTACTCAGAGATGGTGGAGACCAACAAGGTTTATCAGAATTACCATCTAATGGAACATCAATGGAACATGCAAGGAATAAGCCTGGGACAGCCTGGCTCAGTTGGTAACAATCTCGCCTTCTTAATCAGGAGAGTGTGGGTTCAAGCTCCACGTTGTGACATTGAGCTCACATAGTCTACGCATACAGTCCACTTCAGTATTGGGGGATTGCTGTATTGTTCAAAGGGCCGTCTATTGGATTACATGTTAAACTGAGGTCCTGTCAATTTGTTCAGGTGGATATTCATGCTACCACAGCGCTATTTGAAAAGAGTAGGGCATTTCCTCCAGCTCAAATTATTCATTTCTTGGCTGTGAACAAATTGACTGCCATGTGCAGCTGCAAAATACCGTGGCTGTACTTTACATCTTCCCGATGTGAAAGGTGCTATTTCAAACGCAAGGATTATTTAATTAAAAGAAAATGTTCACTGCCTTATTTACGGGTAGATTAGTTTAACGTTGCAGGAGAGAGAGAGAGAACATTTATAGTATTTTTCAACATATTTAGGGATAACAAAGTAAATATTTTTTTCTGATTGATGACTAGAACCTAGACTTTCTGAAACAGCTTCATGAGAGGATGCAGACAAATTGACCACTAAAAAATGCATGACAAAGCATATATTATTATTTCTTTTATTACTATTATTAGGCAAATCTCTCAGGTAGTTTCAATTTTGTTTAAAAAGTCACGTTGACCACAAAAACCTTAATTAGTATGTAGTGACCTGAAATAATATTCACGATACAGCATTAATTTGTTATCTTCAGAAACAGCACACTGTAATATTCCCGCAAGCTCGCAGAAAGATCACTAAGAAATAGGTCCACATTTTGTAACAAATTTATCTCTTCACTTTCCCATTTTTTTTGTAAAAACAAACCGAGTGTAGAGGCAATGAAGAGGACAGTTAAAATACTGTGAGTTATGAAATGTCTGATACTCACAACCAGCCCAGGAACACCGTTTGGGCCTGGGGCTCCCAATTCTCCCTGTAAGTAAAGTTCAGAAGATTATTGGCTCTTTTCTAAACAAATAAGAGTTTGAGAGTGGCACAGTGCTCTGAAATGAAAGCCCATGCAAAGGGAAGGGGGGGGCGGGGGGGGGGAAGAAGACCTATTTCCCTTGCTGGCCTGTGTAATCTGCAGCTCCCATCTAGAGAAGGCGTGCAAATGAATAGAGCTCAACTACTTGGGACTCAGCGCTCAAACAGAGGCTCACTTGTTGTGCTGCTTCAGTGGCCTACAGTTATTCGCGAGCCCGATTTCCTCCATCCCACCACTGGGATTACAGGAGCACTTCGGTCAAAGAGATAACTGTAACCAACCAGCAATCGGGTGTTTTTTTTGTGGGGAATACTGGTGGCAAATTGGAAAAGAACCAGATTAAGATCCTAAGTCAAATACGGAATCCGTGTCAGGCGTTACGTTTCTGTTACTAACTTAGATTTAATCATCTAAATAGAAAAAAAAACCTGAGTGACCTGGATCCTATTCCAAACAAACCTCAAAGGCTGACTGAATTAAAGACTGTATGGTGTGTTATCATTATATTAACACTGACTGAATCACGGCCTTTCTTTCTACACTATTACAATAAATATAATCACCGACTTCAGATGTTATTTTTCTACCATTTTTAAACTGAAGTGGTGTGTAACAGGATGCACTGAATTACTGGAGTCTTTCACATTCCGACTGCTAAAATAAACAATCTTTTCATTATGTGCTTTAAAGTAAAGATTGCTGGGGTGAGCAGTTAGTTTGCAATAAACCACGTAGTTTTCATATAGTGTATTAATATTGTCTATTGAATTTCAAATAACACCTATAATGTCGAAACATCTAAAAATGGAACTGCTATCGAGTGTAGTGACTGCGTATTTGTACGCAAACGTGTCAGTAAGGTTATCAGCAATGGTAAATCCGAGCCTGGCTTCACTGGCTCCCCATCCCCCAGAGGATCGAATTCAAGATCCTTGTCCTCACTTTTAAAGCCCTTCGCAGTCTTGCTCCTCCCTACCTCTGTGACCTACTAAAACATTACCAACCTGTCCGCCCGGCAGGCACTGGCCTGCTCCAAGTCCCCCCACCCAATCCACCATCAGCGGTCAGCCTTTCTACACCCCCAATCTCTAGATCTTTATCCCGAAGTCCCTCCGCCTCACCCCTCCCTTGCCTCCTTGAAGCTCAGTCTCAAGACTTTGACTGTGTCTTCAGCCATCCTCCCAATTCCACCCCCTTCACTCCAACCCCCAGCTCGGGTGCAAATCCTTCACTGTCCAGCGCCCTGGGACGTTGCCCCGATGTGAAAGACGCTATCTATATAAATGCAATATGTTGTTAAGTTATTGTTTTTCTTGCTGAACCCAAACATTCAGATTCTGGGACGAGAGCACTACCAAATGTACCGAGATATCTACAATAAAAGCATTTTGAACTCAATCAAACATTTGCACCAGATATTCAATCAGTCATTTCCTTACCATTTCCAAACATCAATCAAAATAATTTAACTCAATTAATATTCATTAAACCTACCTTGCTTGGTCTAGTATCTTTGCTGTCCTCTTGATCCATTCTGATATTTCTCACTTACTCATGGCTGTTCTGAGATTTTTTTTTACTCCCACTTATTCTGTTTAGATTTCTGACTCTTGTTTGCGTTTCGCTAACACTGATCTCGCTCTATGCTCTGCAAACATTTCTTCAAACTTTTGTTTACTTCCCTGTCTAGGGTCTGAACCGGTTGTTGTCATACAGGTGGTCCATTAATAAACTTGCTTTTGCATTCGTCAACAATTTTAAAAAACTTTCACATGATGGTTTTATTCGCTGGAGGATGTTTCGGTCAGATAAAGGATTGTTCCATATATTTTAAAAATCTGGCCACTCAATCCACGGCTGTTTGTGGGACACTCTGCGCGCAATTGGCTGCTGCGTTTCACCCACAAAACATACAGTCAATTCACTTTACCGTACATTCAGTGTGAAACATTTTGAGACGTCTCAGTGTAATTATTATTATATTATATATTGGACCGTAAAATACATTTTTTGTATTGGAGGTGGTGAGTTGTACCAACTTGGGCAGGAGCCCAAACGTTGAAATGCTTTGATAGAACTGAGACAACGAACTCAGATCCAAGCTGCATATTGCCCATGCCAAGGAACACAAGAGCATGTACCAAATTTTTCATATCATGGCCAATTCACACAGCATTTGCAAAATGACCATTTGTGGGTCTCAATGCTTAGAATGGACCAAGAGCTTTAAACTAACAGGAGAGCAGGCACATTGAGATTTTTGCTGGTTGTGTCATACTCCGGGGGTGCAAATTGCAGTATTTCTGAAAGCACTCACCCCCCCCAGCGATTTCAGCGCCTCGCTAGACCACTTGTCTGCTTCTAACATAGTTGATAAAAGTGTAGCGTTTTCTCAATCTGGATACAATTACAGTAACTACCCAATTAACTGATTTTCATTCATCGCAAGCTCAGTATGGGAGTGGATCGAAATGTTCTTTGAAGCATATCTCAAAACAGTGACTAACGAAAGCCGCACAAACAAATTCAACAGGGATCTAAAACTCTTAGTCTATAATTAGTAATTGTTTACTCTGTGGATATACACATTTGAAAAAATGCAGACTGGATTAATTAAAGTACCACATGACAAGACATGTGGTATCATATTTACTCTTTTATATGGAGCCTGAAGTCACATAAGTGCATATGCAATTGATAATTGACACTAACACTCATCAAACAACCCATCCTTCATAATTCTGAGGTCTGGTGATTTGGGGGTTTGATCCACACATGTACAGAGATTATGGTATTAATATATATAATATAATATTATGTATAACTCATACATTCTACACATGGGATACTGCTGTACTCAATTGGCTGCCCCATTTCGCCTACAAAATATACAGTCAATTCATTTGACAGTATAGTCTGTGAAGGGCTTTGAAATATCTCAAAGGCGTGATAAGGATTATTATTATTATTATAACACCTTAGAAGAAAAACATTCTGATCACTTCCTTAACCTGATCTATGTCCCGATAAAGAATTTTTTCAAAAAAAATTGCAAACCATTTTTCTGCATGGCTCCATTAACACTCAATCCAGACTTTTGCTCTCCCTATCTTCATATTGACAATATCTTCATATTGGCAACACTAACTGTATTTGATTCTTCTCAACAAAGTCGTTTTTTTTAAACACAAACACTAAGTTGGATCGTTTAAATAACAATCTTCTTCTATATTTACAGTGGATGTAAACCCCACTAGAAAATATGGATTAACAATTCATTAAAAACATGTATAATCCTACACGTACAGTTTATATCGACAATACGGGTTCCGAGTGGATTTTGGCGACGTAAGCTAAACAAACAAACAATCTACGCATTTACATTCATTGTGGTTTAAAGTATTTATTGCCTGGAAGGAAATGCAAAGTGGTTTGGAAAACATTAGAAGCATTTACATGCCTCTGATATAAAATGTTGTAATTAGAAGCGTTTATTCATATGTATTTCATATAATACTGTAATTAAAAATGCATTTAATAAGAATCTCATATGTGGCACTTGTTCCTTTCGGGTTGGCACTTTGTGCTTGTCCAAATAGTTATTTACTTCATCCATTTCTTCTGATGGCTCGGATTGAGCAATAAAGCTCTGCAATCCATTGCACGTGCTAAATGCTTCTATGTCACATCACGCACCGCATACTGTGGTCATTGGACTCCCATCTTTATTTTCAGGTTCCTCAGCTTTTTGAAGACTGTTCTCTTGGGCCTTCTTTACTGATGTGATGGCATCTTCATCCCCCAGTGCTGTATGGCACTGCTCATTTGCATCCACATTAACGGCAAGAGCTATGAAGTCTTCTTTTTGCAAACCAAGAACTTTTTCTTCTGTTTTTTTTGAAGGAATTATTACCCCCGGAAAAGCGATCCGCCAATCGACTGACAACCAGGTTCCTATTTACTGCTAGGGAAACAAAGGCGTGTGGAATAACAAAACTTGCCCAACGTTTTATCCTGTCCGGGAATCGAACCCAGGTCCTCTCGATTGCGAGGTGATTGGTCTAACCACTGAGCTATAGGACTCCATACGGCACCTTCATACAGCACTTGATCATCGGAGTCTTCTTCAGCATTACAGGTATCAGCTGTGAATCCACGGAATCCATGGAAGTCACCAAGACGTGGGTCGCAGAAAAACAGCATAAAGCAATTCTGAATCGTCTCTGGCTTTGCCAATGACCAGACCTTTAATTAAATAGTGCATGATTTCCATCCGGTCTTCTGTAAACTCTTCCTTGACTTTATTCGCTGCCAACTTTCGATGAGCTAAAGGTTTTCAGTTGTTGGACTTCTGATTCCGAATAATACCTTGATCTGTTGGCTGGATTAAGGAGGTGGTGTTTGGAGGAAGAAACACCATCTTAACGGCTCGTAGAACTTTGATGTGAAGCTGGGCAGAGCCGTTAAGACGAATCACTCTATTTCTGTCAGAATTCGAGGAACGCAGAATTTTCTGGAGAATAGCCTTCCACTCCTTAAAGCGAGACATGTCGGCAGACTTACCCTGATGTAATGCTCACCTCCAAGCTATTGGCAATACATGAAACACCCATTTATCAATACATTAAAGCCCCATTTGTGCCTTCAATTTGGGGATTAATGTAGTGAGGTTGCACAAATTTACTTGGGAAATCAGATCTGTTGACTTGAGGTTCCAAAAAATGTACACAGCCAGCGCTCAAACACTCTTCATTTGTACCGGAACAGTTGTACATATTGAACCCAGTTGCCTGACTCCTCAAATGCTGTGCGGTTAACATGCTATATGTACATTTATCTACAGCAAACTCAGCCTCTGTACTTCGCCCAGTGTACATTACTGTCGCATCCACCGAGGGGTATACTTCCCTTTAACAGCCAATGCAACAGAACAACACAGCCATGTTTCACACCTACAAACTCTTTCCAGCAGTAGATAAAGTGAAGCTCATGTTGCCTTATATCAGAACTGCACTAGCACCTTGTCTTATATGGCACAATTGAATAAAAACTTAGGGGCCAAAAGACAAGAGAAAAATACACGGTCATTACAGTCTCTATCTACAGGTCTTTAATGACAGATTTGAAATGCTTTAAGACTTGGCTCTATTAATGAAGCACTTTCTAACTTTCGCCTTCAATTGGAGAACCCTGGTAACATTTAGACTCTTTTCCGTGGCCTTCAACTTGAGCTGAACAAGCATGCGTAAGCCGCTAGCAGACAAAACTATGATTCAGAAACTGTAAAAATCACTTCTGCTTTGAATCTGGAAGAAGAAAGATTAAAGGCATTGCTGCATAAAACAGTGTTCAGACTGGTGGAATTTCTCAGACATATCCTAGACCCTGAGATCCAAATGATATCTGGCAACAACTATACAGTGTCAGTTCTATTACTGTGTCTGTAACTCTTGGCTGCTCTACAAATCCAATGCAAAAAAAATGGCCTCAGCTATTTATGCTCAGTCACCAGAATTTCAACCCTCGCGAAGCAACTGAAAAGGACAGTTCTCCTCATCTAGTTGCCTGAATTCAAATATTGACCTGCAATAAGAACATGGTGTTTGTATCGAGATCACATGGAAATAGTCTTTCACTACTAAGAAGATGATATCCTGAACCATCTGGGAGAGGCACCTTCTCACAGAAAGGTAGGTGTAACTGGGGGCACAAGTAACCTCAGCACATTAGGAAGTACTCAGTCCACCAAGTCCAGGCCAGTCCTAGCTCCTCTCATAGAGGTATAATGTTTAATCCCAATTCTCCGCACTTTCCCCCATACCCTTTTATAATATTTCTCTTCAAATATTCACCAAATTCCATTTAAAATCTGTTTTGATGCTTGCTTTAATACCTACTTGTAGGTACCTACCTACAAAGGCTCTAACAAGCTCCTGTGAGAAAAAATTCTGACCTCCTCTTACACAGACCATTACATCGTCTTTGAAACAAGTCATTCGGCCTATGCCAGTGTTTATACTCTACATGAGCCTGCCATATCTCCCCTACCATATCTCTCTATTCCCTTTTCCCCCCATTCTTAATTCCTCCTATACCCCCCTTGTTCATCAATCAATGGAAAAAAAAGTCACGATCTTTCTTAACGTTCTCTGTTCTCCTGTGACTATGTCAAGCCTCTCCTCGTAACCATATGTCGACATTTCCAATATCATCCAAGTGAACCTAGTTGAAAGGATTTGGATCCTCCGAGTTGAAGAGGGTTTGTAGCAGAAGACGATTCTTTTTGGGGGGATAACAAAGAAGAAACAATGGGACTGAAAATAAAGCAGTTAAAATATTTCTTTCAATGACAATGAAGTCATGAAAATGTACTTACCGGGCTTCCATCTTCACCTGGAGGTCCCCTCTCCCCAAAATCTCCCGGAAACCCCTGCCAAGAAAGCAGAAAAACTTTCAGTGCACAAAAACAGGCACAGAAAACAGTTCTTAAAATGAGCAATGAGAAAAATGTGAATTGAAACATCATTGATTCTCTGAATATTGCAGCTGTAATGTCTTCTTAAAACAGTTTAAGTTGCTTTGGCTGCTGTAGGAAATTTAGATTGAAGAATTTCATTCAGCAGAAAGTACAGTAGTAAATATCCTGACATGGCTTTGCTTCTGTCAGAGAACCATAATAGAACACTTAAAATGATAAACTAACCCCAACAAAGACTAATCCAAACTAACTTCAAAAACAGTCTAAAAGAACTCATATGGATTTCAAAAAAAATGTAACTCCAACTCAGGAATATCAGTCAAAAAACAAACAGAAAAAAATGAATTCTTCAACGGGCACAAACATACACTAATTGTTAAAAATAGCAATCTACTTCACTAATTCTTTATTCATAGGAAGTGTCATTAAAAAAGCAGTGAAACTGATTGCTATTGTTAGGGATCAGAGTTCTTTTGACTCCTAGTCTCTTAAATAAGCAATCAGCAATGTGTTAAATATCAAATGCATCTTCCTTTGGATTAATAAATTGCCAGTTATCTGATGGACTCTTCGGTCAGATTTTTTTTCGTTACGTGCCATTTTTGAATTGACTGAAGCAGCCTCGTCTTTAAAGTTTCGGAAACAAAGAAGAAACGTAATCGACACGAGTCTGAGGAAACATGATTAAAGCTTTGCTCTTGGTAGTGGGCTGAGGGCCAGGGTGGTCTACATATCTGATCAAAGAGCATAAGTCTTCATGACATGATTACAATTGCCTGCGTATGGAGCCCAGAAACAAGGTCAGGAGATGGAACTTCAGTTTGAACAAACCAAGAGTGGGAGCGGAGAGGTGGGGGTGCAAAGGATGAGATCTTAGGAAATCTCCTTACTCGTATACATTTTATAATCATGCTGACTAATGATACACACGTTCTTCAACATTTTCTCATCTTCCGATGCACACCACTGTGAACTTTACTGTACTCACTGATAGAGAAAATTAAAGCTTAGACAAAGAGTATATTCTTGGGATTATTAGCAGTGCAAACCCTGAACTGGTGAGAACGTTGGACATCCTCCCGATGTGAAAGACACTCTATAAATGCAATTTATTGTTGTTCTTATACTGGTGACGTTTTATAGAGGAGTAAAGACACCTGGTGTGATGCTGGAGAGGGTAAGAGGCAAGACAGGGAAATGAAGTCTTGGAGAAGGGGGAAAATCGAGTTGTTCCACTGCATTCACTTTATTGCTGGAAAAATTGTTTGTAAAATGATTTTAATTTCTTAAGTTTATTCTTAAGACCGACGTGAAGTGAAAATATTCAACACGTTTCTTCCATTATGCTGTTTTACGGTTCTTCCGCAACTCAGTTTATTATACCCTTGTTACACTTTCTGTTGCTTTTTAAACCCTTTTAATATGTCGAAACAGTGAGCAGTAAACAAGGCAAACAGTCTGCTGGGCTACATTGTTAAAGCATTTTAAATCCCCAGTCGTCACACTCAGTCTTTAGAGAGCTCTTGTCGGATTGCACCTTGAATTACAGTTCTGGTCACCGTGACATAAGGGGTTTGCCCAGGCACCAGAGGCACGGCAGAGGACAAGAGTCTTTGCCACTGAGCTGTGTTGGGTTTTTGAGCTCACAGTCTCGTCTGGCACTCTAGCGCAATGTTGGCAGAACCCTGCATTGTCAGAGGTGGGTGCCATCTTTCTCCCGAGACACTAAATCGAGGTCCCGTCAGCAATGTTCAGACGGACATTAAATATTTCACAGTACATTTCGAAAAGACAAGGATTCTCCCAGTGTCCTGGCCAACACTTCCCAGAAGTTTCAACGACACGAAAGGGCACTGAATCAAAAGCAAAGATAACGATCCTCCCCGAAATAATAATAAACAATCCTTCCGTTTGGAAGGATGTCTGAAAGCACATCGGGAGGATGTCGGAAAGCACTGCCCAGGATTTATTGTGAAGTAGAGTCGCTATGTGTTTGGGGGTGAACAGGGAAGCCCATTTGCGCACAGCAATGTCCCACAAACACCCTTGAAACATATGACTAATTTTATTTTGGGGGACTCTTTGCCAGAACACAGGGAAAAGTCTGCTCTCTTTACAAGCCTCAAAAGGGCTAAAACTTTTCCTTATTATTATAGTAACTTTTCACTCACAGCTCACCTCTATCCCATTTCTGTCCCAGAATAATTTCTTTCTCCTTCATTGCTGTTATTTTATTAATCCCTACTTTTACACATTCAATTTTAAACTCATTCTCTTCCATTTTGTCTGCTCGTGTATGTCGTCGCTATGCCACATGTCTGCTGGAGCGAGGACAAACCTTTGACTGCTGGAGAGTTAAGGAAACCCTGGCACACTTCCACCTCAGTACTATTTTCATCCAAAAATAGGATTGAATTCTCCCTGGATGAGAGCCAGATTCAGAACAAATTTAAGAACTGTTTGAAAAGTGCTGGTTGTTTAGATAAAGTAAGAGGACTTGCGCCAACGTTTTAGTAGAGGTAAAGACCTTCTGCCCAGTGTTTCTCCACAGGGACACAAGTAAACAAAAGAGAGCACTGTTCCTACATTTTTTTTTATTATAACCACATACAATAACACATCGCCTACCAAACTAATCTTACTTTACCTTGTCTAACAATCACGTCAAAGGTCAAAATATTTTGAGCACTTCTGCTGACAAGAGGAATAACCGCTACCTCTAAATTTCTCCTTGATGACTCTCCGCTGAAGCCTCAGTGGAGAATGGACGAGGTGCTGTGGCACGGCGTCACACAGATAAATACTCTACACTTGATCTCTGGTATGCATCGAGTTAAATTATCTCAGCCAGGAAGAGAAATGGGATGCTACAAGTGGCCTTCTTCTCCCTTGGCGAGGCAGGGGGCATCAATCAGCCTTGCTGCTCACGATCCCGACTGGAAAGTGCACATGCGGGTATTGGACAAGAACAGATGCGAAAGCTCAGACACACTTCTTTGTCAAACAGCTAGTCAGCACCTCATCGGGCTTATTAATAAAGAATAAACGCTTGGCAGAGATTTGCAGACATTTAGTATTGGGATCTTACCTTCCGACTTCGAGAAGCAGTTCGGCAAAATATTGGCTGAGGATACGGGTGTGGTGGAAATCTCCTCATTTATTGGATGCACTTGTATAATTCTGTGAGTCTAGATTGTTTCTAATTGCCATTACCATGCACAGTGACTACTGAAGGGAGCTATTATTAAGCTTAAAAACTACTTTTCTGGCCCATTTGAAGAAGGGGAGGGCGGAGGAAGAAATTGAGCCACGTAATCCACTAGCATTTAAAACTCATGACAGGAGACGGGCAGAAAACTGGCATTGCCATTGTGGCAAAGAGTACTGATCGATTCAAAAGGCAACTGGAGAGAGAGAGAACCTGGTTGTACGCTGGTGGTAAGGTAATCGGTTCGTTGGTTTCAACAACAGTGAGACATTTATATAGTGCCCCTCATGCAGAGTCACAGTTTGGAGTGCTTTACAGATGCAGAACACGATCACAGAGGTGAAATTCAAAGGACTGTTCTCGTCTCCACTATATTTACTTTCTAGTATCTGTGCTACGATTAGTTGTGTAGAAGTAAACTGCTATTTTGGGTGTTACTGAAAAGATAGACTCCTTAAAACGTAAGAAGCTACTTTTTAGGACATTGGATGAACTGAAATGAATTGTGACCCACACCTATAACAACACCAATCCAGAATAAATATAATAATAATCCTTGCATTTGATACAGCGCCTTATCAGGTCTTCCAAGCGTCTCAAGGCGCTTCACAGAATATACTATAAAGCGAATTGACTGTATATTTGGTGGGTGAAATTTTGTGAAGATCATATACAGGGTTCAAGATAATCCCAAGAGTGAAATGCAGTCGAAAAATTGAATGGCACAGAATTGTTAGAAAGTAGTTGAAGTGGCAAAAGAAAATAGAATTCAAATCCTAAGGTCAAAGCAAACCAAACTGGTGCAACGCTAATTTGGAGGAGGCAAAGATGGTTAAAAACACTCAAAATAAAAGCAAAAGGTATTCGTATCCCAATTCCGAGGTATGTGACGGGTTTCAAATTACTTTTCCTCTGTTAAATCCAATCTCCCAGTACAGTAAGATCGCTGCAATTGGAAAGCACTGAGCACACATTCTAATATAAGCAGCATGTTAAAAACAAATCTAATATACATTGAGGAGGCCTGTCACTGTAAACCACAGCTGCAATTCACCTGTGTATATAATCTCTTCCAAAATACCGTCTGCTATTGTATTTTGCCATTTCCGTGCACATGTATTCATTTGTAAGTAATAGTTTTCATATTATTATTTGGGTGTCTTCAGATGAATCATCATCATCTTCCAGTTTAGCTCCAATCCAACCGTTATTGAGGCTGTAACAATTTCCGATGGCAGTGACAAGGTACCAGAGGGTGAAGACTGCTGGACGGAGGTAGTCATATGTAGCCAATAAAAGGTATGCGCACAGAGAGCGGAGGAGCCTAGAATTTGCTGAGCAGCAGTGAAAAGACCAGCGACTTGTTGCAGGATCCAGACCTACCCAAAGGTCAAATGGTAAGCAAATGACATAAGCCACAAGGGGCAGATTCCAACTTTTGGCACCACAACATTCCAGAGCTTTACCTAGGAGGCAATGTGTCTGCTGAAGTAGGTCAGGCCAAGACCTACGAGTATCTGATTTGGAAACTGGTAGATGCACGCTAATGTAGTTCATCTGCAAAACATCAAGCAGTTGAGCTGTCTCAGGTTAGCAGAGGAAATGGGCTCGCTAGTTAAAAGGCTGACTGGTATGGTCACCAACAATCAACCTCCATGGTGCTCCAGGGTACATTGTATTCAGTGCTCTGTAGAGACCGATGAAGGTTTTTTTGGATGGAAAAATGAGCAGATTTGCTTCACCTGTGGCTTAGGTACCCCCTCCAAGATTAGCTCCCTTTAAAAAGTTATGATAATCCTTAATAATCCTTGTATTTGTTATAGCACCTCATCATGTCTTCGAAACGTCTCAAAGCGCTTCACAGAATACAATGTAAAGCAAGTTGAGTGTATATTTTGTGGACGAAAGTTCTTCAAATTACAGATCCCTTCAAAGCCTGACAGCAGGCGTTTAAACCTGAAAAACAAATTAAAATATTATGTTGTTGACTTCATGACCACACAGTGACATTATTATTAATTATTTCCTTACATTTTTGATTAGAAATACAGTATAAAAATGATTGCACTGAGGCCATTTGTACAAACCATCTCAGAATGTACTCAGCTCACAATAAATATTGTTTGGTCTGCTCATAACTAATACTTTATTTACCTTTATTATTCTTTCTAGTCGTTGAATTCTTCTTTTTCTCACTTCTGTCTCTTGTCTTCTTTTATTCTTCCAAGACAGTCTTTCAAATTCAGTTCACCCATAGGCATGTTTGACATATATCCATTTCGGAGAAGTCCATCCTGGATTATGTTCTTTTGCGATACAAAGGTCAGTTTTGTCGCCCACACAATGGATTCAACTACATGTACGCTAATCATCTGTATCAGTGCTTGCACACCCCCCAGCAAAAACATGGAAAGTTATTTTCAATTCCACATGATCTATAATGAAAGCAGTTATAATTCAAAATATTCATGATTTGGATACAATTGATTTAGTAGTGCCGTGTGAATGAATCTAGAGCCTGTCATCTGCGCTAATCGGTGTTTGCTCCATTCCGGATATAATTATTTAACGGATTATCATGCTAATGGATTGTCATGCTAATCGGCTACAGTACTAACCAAAAACTTCTTCCATCTGTCCCTATAATACAACACTGTATCTTTCTCTTTGCCTTTCTCTCTGTATCTGACTTCCTCTGGATTAGCCTACAGGATATAACACAGGAAAAGAATTTGGGAATACCAATGGATACATCTTAAAACCTCTAAATAACATTATGTGTAATGAAACCAGATCAGTGGATGTATATCTCAGTTATTTGGGTCACGCATCAATTGCTATCTGCTCACTGAGCAGAGGGAGCAGCCAAAAGGTTGGGTTTGAGGAGGGATTTATATGCAAGATTTATATCACGTAATATTGCATCTCTATGAATTACCTACTGTACCTTAATAAATAACCGCATTACTCAGCTACTGTAGTGTAATGAATATCTGGTAATAAAGGATAATGGTAGAGCTGCACTGTGCAGTAGTTGAAAGCAAGAATGATCAGTGCATCACATAAACACTCTGCAAATTGTGCACGCACGAAAACTGCCAACTGAAACAGATGAATACTGGATCCAATATTGTCAGACTTGTATATTGTTTTTGGTTAGCCGGTGTCTCACATAAATGCGGACACCCAATGATTAAGAGTATCCGAACCACACATTCCCACCTACGCATGGAAATCCCAGAGATAAATTGGTGGAATGGAATGCACACTCTCCTCCCGGAGGGACGCATGCTGCTTACCTAATTCCGGAAAATATTAGGCGCGGGTTGGCAGGAGCCAAAGCTTGGGGACCTCAAGAGTGACCCCAGCTAAAACTGTAATAGCTTGCCATCGATAGGACTGTCTGGCAAGATTTCCTGCTGCTTGTCCAGCTAAGACCACCCTACCTTGTCAGGGTTTGGGCTTGCAGGGATAACAGGAGCTGAGCGGGAGGATTCCCTGCCCTTACAAGTCCTGCCAAGGAGCCAGGCCGGGCTGCGCTGTCCTCAGAGGCTACTGAGCCTGCCACAGAGGGGTTGGCTCGATTCTGACATTCCGTTGCCAAACATGTCGCCTGGGTGCCAGTTCAGCTCCAAAGAGACCCCACTTACCTCCCCCTCAAGGAGGAGGTCGCTGGCTGGTCATTTGCCATCCAACAAGTGCTGGTTTGAGCCTTCACTGGGTGGATGACAGGAACCAGGAACTCCCTGCAAGTTCTGGTGGCAACACAGCTCAGCATTAAATGCATGAGCGCATTGCCAGATTTGTACAGTGCAGTGCATCCAATAACATCAGCTCAATACAGTATTAACTCTTTAAACACCGCAGGGGAATTTTGTGCATCTGATTGGGGTATGCTTTTACATAGACCTTGTCAAATCAATACTTTGCCAATCACTGGGGTTTGCCCTGTTGAGTAGTTGGAAAACTAGCCTCTAAAGGTGTTTTCCAATCAATCATTATAGCCTCTGTTTAGAAAGATTTATTCCCATCAGCAAAATGGAAGGCTGGAAGAAAAAAATGATAAGTAGAAGGCTTAGAATATAATTGTTATAAGAAAACAAGATAAAAACTATATGGTAAAGTATATTAGGTAGCCAAAAAAAAGGTTAGTTTAAGGTAACAGGGCAGGAAAATAATAGGCAAGTGAAAGGAGAAGGAAAAGGTATGACAGGAAGAACACGGGCAAAGTTTTACATTATTCTTTATTCAAAACTCACTTCAACATTGCTTTAGCTGATTTAGCATTATTTTACATATTATGTAGGAGCACAATTCAACCACTTACGTTCTTGATTACTAAAAGCACACTTAGCAACAACCTCACGGCAGCATTTAATTCAGGGTTACATCATGTGTCCAGCAGGAGTTGCCAACACACACTTAGAAATGTATTGGAGATGACTATGCACATCCACAAGAACAACGCTACTGCTCTACACAATCCACAACAACCTGGACCATTACCACATGTGACAGTTGAGTCTATTCAAAATACCTGTGCAAAGAATCAAATTTTCCAATGTTTCATTCCCATTCTCTACATGTAAGAACGCTGCTCCAAGCATAGATTTACAATATTTATTCTCATTATGCAGAAACCCTGATCCATTCATAGCAATCCAAATGTTCTATTCCCATTCTGCCGTAACCTTCATCCAAAGAAAACATTTCTCTGCAAACTGGTTATGTGGTTTTGTACAGTTTCGCTGCTGGCACTAAAACAAAAGTCTCGAGTTTCTTATTGGGGCTCTGGTGATTACAAAGGCTGCTCTGTAAAATATTACACATACTAGCATTTTATATCAGCATATATCCAACCCCTGCGACTGTTTATAAAGGACCTAAGCCACATGTTTGCAAAATCTTAGTGAGTCATCCAGACCTCCTTTGCATGTCACTGTATACGTACGGTGTAATTAACTGCTAGCTACATCATTTCTTGAGGCCCAGGAAATAATTGAAGAATTACAAAGTGGATTGTTTGACAATGGCCAACTTCAAAGGGTGGAAGAAATTAGTCCAGTTTCCTTCCATTATTTTAATTCCAATTAAACGTCCCACTTAAGAAGGTTATCAATTTAAAACCCACATGATCGACGTGTTGCACCCAGAAATCATAAATAACCAGCAGTGGCCTATTTTCTCCTCTTTCAATCACTTTTGATCTGGTTTTGCCTTCTTGTTTTATATATTTTTTGTCTTTACATAACTTAACAATAGAACAATAGATAAGAAGAAAACCTTTACCGGCCTACCCATCTTGCCCCTCTTCCCTGGTTCTCCTGGTATGCCCTGCAGAGAAAAACGTAGAGAATTAAGCAATGGAAACGGTGTTCAGCCTCAAAACATTAAAAGAGTAATATTGTGTAGCATCAGAGGAATTATGCCCATGTTAAAATCAGCTACGAATTTCATTAGCATGTATAACAAGGATGTACTTCAGTAATATACACAGGACGATTCCTTTGGAATGTACCTCAGTACGGCCCGAATTCACTTATAATTCAGGTGGAATTACAGTACTGCATGTGCTTAGGAAACTGACTGGTCAACCACCACAAAATTTACGGAATCAAACCTCAGTGTTATATTTACCAGGGAAATCCTGTACGATACCACAATGCAGATTTACATTTATACACAGGTTATCTTGTTTTCAACAAAAGGTGAATCATGTGTATAATCTCTCCGTGACATCAAATGCCCAACCGCTGTAAATGAATTCATTAAATTAAAGCAATCATTTAGTAATCGTTAATAATAATAATTCTCCAAGCCTGATCCAGCACTCTTATTAATGGTCACAAAGGTACTAGCCAAAAGCTATGATGATCCAGAAGTGGGCCTCGCGGGCAATTTTCACGGAGCAGTTATAACAGCTTATAAATAGAAGAGTCAATTGCCTTTACTGGTAAATTTACTACGTGAAATAATGGCCAACGGATGCTTATAAAGCAGGTAAACAACACATATTATTGACTCAGACCCCCAACTGGAGGTGTCATTTGTTCAGCAGTTCCTGACATCTTTATTACAAGTGTGCAGGGTACACAGGAAATGTGCGTTTGGGGCAAAGGTATTATGTACTTGTAAGAGAACTGATGCACTTGATGAATGAAGTGAAGAACTTGTACTGTGTTTTGTGTTGCAATGAAGAATAGTTCTGAACCTTGGAGACTCAATCAAATATTGTAATGGTGAATCATCAGTAACAGATTAGCATCACATTTGCAGTTATATTCACATCCAAAAGAATTCCTTAGTTTATCATTGAAACAAACTCACAGACTGTACAATAAAACAGTGCCCAGATGTGTAACTACTTTTCTCAGCTCTTTAAGAATAACAAAAGACAAAATCTGTTTCCATTCAGAGTAAAATACAAGCATTTGGAAATAACCTAAAGTGTGCCTGACGTGTTCAAACTCCAAACACGTTACCTTGCAAGCTCTCTACTAAGATAATTTTAAGCGAAGTAGATTCTCTGCAATAATTACAAACATCCTTGAGGAAAAAATAAAATCTCGTAACCCAAAAGAAAAGTTCTAAATTTCAAAGTAAAGCCTGTTTTATGAGAATGAATGCATGAAACTTGCTTGGCTGAAGTAGTAAACACGGTTAATTCTCAGCTTGGGTTCAAAATGAAACCTTGCTTTACCAGCAAGCTGCTGCATCTTGAGGGTGGGAAAGTACAGATTGCCTATCTTGTTCCACTAGAATCCTGTCTCCAGCTGACTGGTAATGGATCATCATTGATGACAGTCACAGAGAAGTCTGCAACCCAGCATGTCCTTGCTCTCCCAGCTAAACAAATATGCACCCAGAAAATAAGGATGCAAAGAACACTGCACAGGAGGCCTTGCAGCTGTTAAAAGTTGCTAGCTGCGCTTAACCATAACAGTGCCCACAACTTGATTTATCCCCGCTAATCGTGAAGGTAAAACACCTGCAGAAGCAACTTCTTGAATGTAAATCTGAAGCACGGTAGAGTGCATCCATTAGAATGTTATTTCTTGCTAAATTCACTGGCTGTGATGTAGTGAACTCATTTAAAAGCCATGGGTAGGGTGTCAAATGAGCTGAAAGGTGATAAGCGTGTAAAACAAATTAAAAGCTTTATTTTTTCTTGGTCAGCCGGATGTCTGATACATCACGGTGTAAACCCATGATTGAATTTATCCAAATCAAACAAAGTTCCACGCATCCCACCAACACATGGAAATTCTGGTATATTGGAATGGATTGCTTATCTAAATTCGAAGAGTGTTAGGCGCAGGTTGACAATCTTAACTGTGCAAGATTATATCCTTCATCAAAATTAATTTTCCTCAAATAAACATGCATTAATCAGCAACTAGTTTAAAGGTATGGTTACATAGACCAAGTCTAGTACAATAATGTTGCTGTCTTCAGTTCTCCCAACATTCTGTTTGTTCAGTCTTTTCAATCTGATTCATGTTTTGCAGCTCTAAGTCTCAATTAATGCATTCATCTAACGATCTCTGTGTGAGCAAGGCTGACAGACCTGGCTGGCTGCCACGCTTACTTATTTTCCTAAGATATTTATCCAGAATTTTGAAAGGAAATCAAGACACACGCTCATTTATGAAGATATGCAATTGATGTTTACGAACAACTTAATTGTTTAGCCCCAAATTCCACTGATGGCCCAGTGGGTAAATGTATAGCTGTTCAGATTGGAAAATCCTAGAGTTAGTTGAGCACATCTAACATTGGCCTCAGTGCTGCTGAGCTAGGCAAGCGAAAAGGCTTGTGATTGCTATCGTGTGGATATCTAATACCCCTGGAATTGTGCGCTAGTAGAAGAAAAAGGAGTCAAGTGCTTTCAAAAGAAGGGAAGAGAAAAACTGGAGACTTCACTACACCCTTAATAGGCTTTTACAATGTGTGTGTGTATGCGTGTGTGAGTGTGAGCGAGAGAGAGAAGGGGAGAGTCAAAGGTTTCCTCGGCTGAATAGAAAGATTAATGATCTTGAGGGCAAAGGCAAGTTAGTAGCAAGTTACCCTTTAAGCTTTCATGATGAACATTACAAACCTCAAAATTATAATAATAAATCTTGCATTTGATGTAGTCGTGTCTTATCATGTCATCAAAATATCGCCAATTACTTCACAGAATTTTCTGTAGTTCACTGGGGAGTGTATTTTGTAGGTGAATGCGGCAGGCAATTAATTTGTGCACATCAATGTCCCACAACCATCCAAGAAGTGCATAAGCAATTTTATCTACAGGATTGTTGGCCAGGATATTAAGTTAAAGCCCTAGCCTGTTAATTCCAGGCCATTATAAAGGCCTCTTTAGGTTGATTGAGTACATATGAACTGAACTTTTACACAAAGGCTTACATTTTCCACTACTCCCAGATACTGTATACAACAGGAGACTCAGAGTCCAAAAATCAGAAGCATATTCCATCACTGGAATATCAGTAGCCAGAAGGCACCTCTAGGCTATTTGTTTCACTTAAAGATTTTGGCTCCAGGCGTGTTATGTCTGTCTTGTTCACTAGGCAAAATATGTGTTCAACATGTGGATAAATGGCATTTGATCTGTCTGTGAAAGGATTTTAGTCCCCCTCCCACCCCACTTGTCCTAATAGGAAAGCAAAGCCTATTGGAGTTTCCACAGACAGAAACTGATACTCCTGGTTGCAGCATTGTAATGTATTTATAAGCTCCATAAATGGAAGATGGATGGTAATGTATTTTCGGGGGATTATTTTGACAAGTCTCAAACAAGACTAGAAATAAGGCCAATTTGGTTCACACAAAGTGAGAGAGATATATCGACGGTTTCACCAAGGGTACTCAGTGCTTTGTTATTGAACTCCTATGAAAAGAAGCTGGAGCTGGATGAATATTCAGTGAAGAACAGAATTTCAGTTGAGAACTAGTAAACCAAAAGAGATGCCAAAGCGTTGGTGGCTATGATAAAACTAGTCTATGGCACAATGTGATAATGCTCATCCAGCATGGCTAGTTAGGCCGAATGCCTTGCTTCATTCCATGCGGAAAATGTGTGTAGTCAACTATGTATTTTAGTGGTGATTCATCTGAACTTGTTAAGGTCTTTTTCAAAAACGTTTCTCCTGACATTTGATCATTAATTCAGTATCAATACATTAGCATAGCTGATCCTTGATTCTCATCCAGCTGATATCAGTGACACAAAGACACAAATGAACAAAGACTCACTTGTTCTCCATCTGCTCCTGGAGCTCCCAGTATTCCCGGTGGGCCTATGAAGCCCTGTAGAGAGAGGAGAGAAGTGCCATCAGTAGCTCTTGCAGAACCTCAGGGAGGGATGTCACTGTGTGATCTGGTTCCATCGATGCAGCAGTCGTGCAGGTGATGAACAAAGCCTTGAGGCAAGTGTATATGCCCATGGACTGCATGGTGCTGGCTTCCACGATGTAGTCCAAGGGCACATACCCTCACACCAGGGATCGAGTTGCCTCTGCCACGTACCGCCATTGGAAACAAACAGATGAGAACCTACCTTGCTCTCCACGCTGAAAATAGTATAATGTCCGGTTTCATTAAACTGCTTCATTATGCACACGATATCTTAAAACTACTGCACTTAAGTTTTCCTGATTCAAATTAATTATTGAAGCAATGTACCTTAGCATGAAGATTAATCGTGTAACCTGCTTGCGGTTCAACTAAACGTATCTTCTGGCTATGTTCACAAGGAGGAACCAGTAAATATACTTCACTGTTACTCAAACCCGGTCTTCTCAGGCAATCAATTTGAAACACAATTCACCTTTGATCCTAGAGGTAACCAGGTTCACACACCAGAAGGTCTTACGAGCCATGTTTCTTGTACTTTTTCCACAGTTCCTCTCTTTCTACATAGTTTCCTACATTTTCCTAGTGCAAGGAATTCATTACCTGAATCAAAATCTGCATCTGGGAGCTCTTAAGCTGACAAGGTGACAAGAAGGGAGCTTCCACCACAGTGTATGTAGTATTTTGCAAATGAAAAATTCCAATCATAAGTCAAATATTTTCAAAATGCTATAACAGTCAGAATAGTATGGTTGATCCATTTATTAAAGCCTTTCCACTGTTTAAACAGCCTAGGCTAACCAACAGAGTGGCAAATTCCTATGGACAAATATCCCTATTCCATAATACAAACCCTTCAATGACTATATTGCAGTATTAAAGCATCTAACCAGTGGTATTATACTTCTATCTCATTACTGAATGCTGTTGCATGCTGCTACCTATTGCTTGTAAACATTTTATCTTACATTTAGAATTAAACTTTGTTTCCCAGCTAGAGAATTGCAATCGTTTCAATATTAGAAAAACTGGATTCCCGATTTATAAATCAAACTTTCATACTGTCCAACCTTTACTAAACATAGTTAACATAGACAAGAAGGAATGACACTTACAGCTGAAGTATTATTCATTTTTTCCCTGACTTTTACCATTGCAAACCTTTCAAATCAAGTTGAAAGGTGAAAGATACCAGTCACCTTTCATTAACACAGATTAAAAAGGTCAAGATCAAAATGATCTAATAGTAGAAGTCAATTCTGTTTCAAAGCCACTGCTAATAGTAAACTACTACTGATTGATTGTGATCACATAATAATGCCAGTTATTGGAGTTTATTCTACAGCATCCAAGCTTCATTTAGTCTAGAATTATAAACTCTTCGTTTACAGCATAAAAAGGCAGAAGGTAACTTTCAGAGTGCACTGATTATTAATGAACTATGGTTTCTGGCATTCATGATTTAAAATATATGTATGCCAGAAACGATAATTCACGCAAAAGGCAAGTTCATTATTAGCAAGTACTGATGTAGAATCTGTTAATGCACAACATCATGGGTGGCAGGCTAGCTATGTTGTCTTTGAAAACAATTTACTTTCATTGCACTCCTCTAAGTCTGCTGATTGCATGACCTGAATCCTCCCTCTTGACAATCATTTTCTCAAATCAGATTCACAAAACAGTGTATATCAGCTGCCTGAGGGAAGGGCAGGGCGTCAAAATAACTTCTCACTGGCCTTAACCCCATCCTCCGCACAAATTACTACAACCTCCCAGTTTCTTTTTAGTCTTTAAGTTGAGAAGCATGACGCTAGTTAATACTTAAAACAGCGAAATAAAATGTGGCAAGTTGACAAGCTACTTTGGGGACAACTCATCCTCCTGCTAGCGGGATCCAAAACTGAGTTAAAAGTGAGAATAAAAAACATGTCCTCGTGCAAAATGTTGTGAGGATGTGTCATTCACTGCCCCCAGAAGGCTGTCGATGCAAAACCAATTAGGATGTTGAAAAGGTAAATGAAAAGGGATTTTGATAAATTTCTGCGGGTCTGGCTGGGAGCAGCTAGCCTCCTGTTGGCCCATTCTCCTACCATTCTCCTGCCTCACTGTCCTTGCTGACCTTAAATGGCCAGAGATATATTTGCCCCTCGGATGATTCTAACAATTGCAATACTGGTACCCTCGATTTTCGGCTCTCAAATATGGTAATTAATTTCCCGGAAATTCTGGCTTGCATCTCCTTCCTATTAATCCGGTCACCCAGAGATTTTGTACTACAAATAGCAAACGTATTATCAGGGTTGAGTGACTACAGCCATCGAGAAAGATTGGAGAGATGGAGCTTTTGTCTCTGGACTTGAGATGATTGAGACGGGCCTGAAAAAGGCGTTTAAGACTTTAAAATAATTTGATAGGGCGGACGTTAATAGCCTGGCTCCACTTGTTTGTGAATCCAAAACAAGAGGCCATAAATGTGATTGCCAGTAGCAGATCTCAAAGGGAGTTTAGGAGCAACTTCTTTACCCAGAGGATTGTAAGAATGTGGAATTCACTGCCAAATGCTCTGTTTTAAGCAAAAAGCATCAACACCCTTTGGAGAAACTTGGTGCATTCATAGATGTGGCAGTTGAAGTAATCCACCCTACTAATGGTTCAGTGTGGCAAGGGTTGATATTTCAGCCTTGGGGCAGAGGTATATATTTTGTTGCCAATGTTTTATGACTAGGCTGTGGGAGGTACTTGGACTGCAGATTTGAATATGGTAAGCGAATCAAATCCATAACACCGATGGAAACCTGCAGCTGTAGCACATGAAAACAATTACAACAGTGAACAGAAATCATCAGTTTTCTGAGTCTGTATAAATTCCACTCGCCTGAGTATCTTGATCTCAATAGCGATAAGAATGACTCAGTGAACCCCCAGCAATACGCTGGTAATTTCTATTCGCTCCAGCCCAGTTTACACTGCACTTCCTTTGGTAATTCTTTGCCAAAATTGTACTGAATTGCCCCCAAAAATACAGCACAAAATTGGGTTTGAGCCACACTGTCTCACGTTGATTTACACCAGTTTAAGTAGAGTGCACATTCATTCAATCGGCATTCTCTCAAAAGTAGTCATTCGAAAGATATGGAGCAGTCTAAATAAAAGGTTGGTCCTGGGCAGCTCATGTTTTGCGACTTCTTTAATGCAAACCATAATGTTTGGTAGTATGTGGGTTGTCCAGATTAAAAGCCTGTAGATCACAGTGCGAATGTAGCCCTAATAAGTGACAACCAATACGGCTTTGCAAAAGGTACGTCTTTTTTGATAATCTCAAGGTACTGGACATAGAACGTAAAGACACCTTGCTTTTATATAACACCTTTCACACAGGGTAGCATCTCGGAGAGCTCCCATGAGAAACTCGGATGGAGAGGCTGTAAGGGACCTAGGAATACTGATTCACTGTCCATCATATTTAAACAGTACAAGGCAGCAATATCAACAGCGAACCGAATAGGTGTACACTGTATTGTCAGTTGAGTTCTACACCTGAACGAAACCTTTGCCAAAAGTAGACAGCGTCGGGTGGGTATTCCACCAAGTTGGTGGAATATGGCTGAGGCTTGGTGGGCCTGATAGGTATGCTTTACCATGGTATGGATTAAGTCTAGATTCCTTAGGCCACTGGCCAGGAAATGGAGGGTGGGTTGCCACAGAAAGACTGTTCTGCCTGATAATGCACTGGCCAACACCAAACTCCCTTCCTTGGCCGAGGTAAATTTCCAATCAGAAACCCTAGGGTTTTTATGCTGCGGTGCATGATTATTATTATAATTATTGTTATTATTATGAGCTATGTACTGGGCCAGGTTAGGTTGTTTACTAGGCTCCCAAATATCCCGCAGGAACAGGTTTGTCCAGCTAATATTTTGAGCTGTTTAATCACCGAAATAGCTTTGTCACACATTAAATATACATTCTGGAGAAGGAAATTGAGGGGACTAGGAGTGATGGAGGCTCACTTGGCATATAAATACCAGTAGAACCGAATGGGCTGTTTCTTTACATTCCTGTAACATTCTACGCGATCCTATGTAAACACAAACCATATCGTGCAAGAAAAAAAAGCAGGAATTGAATTCAGTGTCTGACCACTTACCCGAAATCCTTTTGGTCCACGCTTCCCTACTGGCCCTGGTAAACCCTGTAAGATACACACACACACAATTGGTTCAAAAAAGGAAACTGAAAGTATCTTGCTGCATTTGTGCTTTAACAGATTTTTAAAAAAAAAATACAAGCATTTATTTATCATCTCAAAAAAAAATAGAAGGGATTTTACACTCTGCCTCTCTCACCTTTATATCTTCCTTTCCACCACTGTACAGATCTCCGTTGGTTGGGCGATGAACACAGTACAGTTACAATGCCATGACAATTACATTCCATATTGGCTAACTTAGGAACCCCACTGATTAACCCCTCCAAAATGAGGTCCTGCGGTTAACAGGAAGATGAACAGTTTTAGGGACAGGAAAAGGTCATTTGGCTGAAAAGGCCCATTTCTTTTCGACTGATTTCCACCCAATGTTTCTGCTTTCTTGCCATTGCTCTCTATCCAGTCTCTCGAAAATTGCTTCTTGAATGAATATTATTAAGTATTATTCAGTGCAATGGTCTTGATCTTGGGTCACGAATATGGTAGGGGACTCAATAGATCTGTAGCCGCAACCGTGACTCCCAATTTGTGTCTTGCCTCCCAGGTGCCAGGGTAAGAAACAAAACTGAACGATTGCAGAAGATTTTGGAGAGGGAGGAAAATAGCCAGTAGTCGTGATTCATGATTCACGTGGGAAACAATTACATAGATTTCAGGTCCTGCAGAAGGTGTTCTTTCTCCCACCAGACCCTTCAAAATAATGCAGGCGATTTTTTTCCCCACCAACTGATGTCAAACGTCATCAGTTTGGAGTGTCTCTTTTCGAAAATAACTGTTATGTTTGTCACTTATCCATCATCACATGCCTACTGGGAATCCTGTGAATTAAATGTCAAGAGAGACTGGAAAATTGCACCTTCATCTTTGCCACTATTCTGAATCTGGAATCCTGCCTGCTTTGTTTTACATTTTCTCTGCACGTCCTTTTCGTGTTCCTTACCACCACCAAAACACATCAAAATATGCTCATATTTTTGCAGCCCAACACATGTCAATAATAGGCGACTCTGACACCAACATCAGATTGTCCAAATAAACCATTGAAATCAAAAAGAAAAGCGTGGAGCAGGAAGTAGCTACTCCCACACAAGTCCCCACCACAAAATACTTACTCTCTTGGGTGTCTGTAACAGGCAGTTCTTCCCCACAGCAGCAGTAATACAGAACAACTTAATTTCGGAAACTGAATTGCCTAGAACTTTTGACACCAGCAGTAACGAGTAGCTAGACATGTGGACTACAAACAGTGACTTATCCTTGAAACCATACAAAGAATTAATGACTGGAACAGGTTGCCAGTGAGGGTGGTTGAGTCCAAGTGGCTAGATTCATTTTAAAATAAAACACAGCTCGGTGCTGTGACGGGAGGCCAGTGAGGTGGGTTTTCTCGAAGGATGAGATGAGATGGGCCAAACGCACTTGCTCATCCAAACGAATTGTGATCTTGCGAAAAATCCACTGGTTACGCTTCCACTCATGCTTTGTGAATGTGTAGCTATTTTGCTTTATCACAGACAGTAACCTTTCGGCAAGTCTCTGCAATCGAGATGTTCCTCAAACAAATAAAACTTAATTATATTAACCAGCTTCATGCATACAAAAAATACTCTAAAAAGAGCATTCCCAGGACGAACCACTTTGTTCTCAAGTGCACTGAGCCAGGGACTGATCGAAGCTGAATACGATTAAACTAAATAACCTCAATGTAAAGATAACACAGCATTTTAAAAAAAATAAACACTTCACCTATCAGAGTAATCTTCTTGTAAGGACTGCTGTAGATCGCCATAAGCCTGACATTTAGCTGCTACAGACAGGAAGCAAACTTGTCTCATTAATGTCAGGGACAGGGGACTCTCACCCCTGAATATGAAATCAGCAAAAGGGCATCTGCTTCCCATTTGCTTTAGTGAAGTACTAAGCAGTCACAGTTCTATCAAATACTGTATCCATACTGTCACTCTATGAGTGAATTAAAAAGAAAATTAAAATAATGGTCACTAAAGGCTTGAAAGAATCCATTGCTTTTCTCTCCTACTTTTTTGTGGTTGCACACATACAGTTTTAAATGAAGATCACCCTCTGGTAACTAAATCCATTCAAACTATGAGAACCCTTGTGAATTACAGATTGAAGACAGTGTCTTACACATGAAGCTGGTTATAATCAGGTCTTGTTTGTTTCAGTTCCTTCACAACTACATTGACTTGGTGGAATGTTGTTTGTCCGTATAACACAACAATTGGATTGTGCAGCGAGTATTCTCACCGTTGGCTTATCAAATTCCCCACGTTAATAGGTTTAAATAAAATCTACGTCAGGATCAGGTTCAATCGCCCCACATTACTGTACCTTTCTTGGCCTGTTCACTAGAATCTCAGCCAAATAATATTTGCAAACTTAAATGTTTTCTCGGTATCAAACTGCACGTCATGAGAAGATTTACTGCACCTGCCTGCCAGGATAACCTTTGGCACCTCGGCTTCCACCAACTCCACGTTCACCCTGGAACACAAAGAAGATAGCGTTGCTAACAAGGTTTACTAAACAGGTAAGAATAACTCAAAATGTTGCTTTCTTTTCTTGTTTCTTTGTTTCCAGGGTTCAAAGTTTCAATCCATTTCAGAAATCATCTGCTACAACAACAACAATTTACATTTACATAGAGCCTTGCGTAAAAACACATCTTCCTTCCTTTCCTGTCCACCACAACCCACACCTGTCGGGTGTTAAATGATCAACTAGGGCAAACCCTCAGTGCTTGCTCTCAGTAGTCCACTTCCTGAGCCAGAGCGGGTCTGCTGACAGCTCCTGTTAACTCTGCAAACCAAAGCCCGAACAGGTAGGGTGGTCCGAGCTGGACAACCAGCGGGAACAATTGCCAGACAGTGTTTCCAATGGAAAGCTATGCAATTTTAGCTGGTTAGACGCCAGCAGTTAACCCAACGAGCACACTGACATCTCCAGCTTTGGCTCTTGCCAACCTGCCCCTAATACTCCACGGAATTAGGATGCATCCCTCCAGGGAGAGAGTGCGTATTCCATTTCAACAAATTTCTCTGGATTTTCCATGTATGCGTCAGACACCCGGGTGGCTGGAAAAAAAACCAATCTTAATAAATTTAGCCTACTGTAACCCTTGACTAGAGTCAATATAAATGACTGCATAAATTCTCTTTGAGCATCAGGTCATAAAGTTGTTCGGCAATTGAGACTAACAGGAAGTTATCAGTGGTCACTGATGTGAACTCACTTGGTAGATATATCAAACTCCAAATTTTGTTTCAACTAAATGTTTGAAGTGACAAGGGCAGCGCTGCTTTTGTATCGACCAAAACCCGTTGTGAGTTTAAGCGGAAGGACTCAAAGTTAAGATTCAAACAATTCAAAACAGCTCCAGCCCACACAGGGATTCGAGAATTGAATAAACATGGTGACATCTGCTGTGCAGGAGAGAGGAATAACTGTTTGCTAGTTAAGATGAATCCAGGGAATGCAATTGCTGCAGAGACACAGACTGAGCAAGTTCATGACTCAATCAGGTATCAATGTTGGTTAGTTACCGACTCCAGTGATACTATCAATGCATCTCCGGCATAGAAACAATCACTAGGGGATCCAGATGCAGACGATAACTTCTTGGGAAGTATCTTTTTAGGAACCAAACCATCAACATCTACTACCACCACAAGGGCTTCACACCAATACCCATGCCTCAAGGTCCACACAAAATACAGCCTGCTGGACATATCCTTCCACAGTACATTACAGTAAAATATACTAATGATGTATTTAGATGCCATTCCTTTCTCTAAGAAAGAAAATGATGAACTGATTTCCGTGTTTACTCTGGCTTAAGAAGCCCACTTGGTACGATTAGAATCTGCAGTGTATTCTGAAAATATTTGGGATAACTTGCAGCTTGCCATTGGAGGCAGTGGTTGTCAAAAGTTATAGGTGAATTACTCCCAGCCTTCCTCTGTACAAGCTCCAATCTAGCTTCGCTACTCCTGATCTTAAAGACTTTCCCTAGCTATTAAAGAACGTAATGAGCACTGACTAAATAGTCACAGGCTAATTCACTTTAAAAAAAACTGTGCAAGGCTCACAGAATGGCTATGTTGGTAGTACATTAATTACCCAGGTTAATTAGCCAACAGGACCAGGAAGGTCCTAGTTTAAATATGTTCTGATTCATGGGTACTCTTGGTAATGATGCTAACAATTAAGGAGGCCCTCACCTTAGGGCTGCTGTTCCTAAATATTATTCCACAATCACTGATTCAGTAAAAGTGCTTGTGTGCAGACAAGAAGTGAGGACTGGTTAGGATTTGGCAGTCCACTCGCTTCTGGGCTTACACATCAAGAAAGATTGTCCACTTGTTTGAGGAATTAATAGAAGCACGATCATCGCTTGTGGAACCGTGCCATAGAACACGTCGCCGACTGTGAGGCAGATTGGAGGAGGAGGAGATCGGAGGGGGATACTTGGTTTGAAGTTAAACTTGCTGAAGAAATCGCAATTCCATATGAACAGAGCAAATCGTACAGCAGTAGGACTGAGAGCTGGCATTGAAGAATGCCCTCAGCTCATTCTCAACACAACTGGGCCATAAGACTCAGTGCTGTGTTCCCCGAACATTATCAGATTTTTCCATTGCACCACACATTTTCCTCTGTATTTCTTTGTTGACGTTGCTGTATTCACACATGAATGAGAACATACCAAGACAAGTATGGAAACAATTAAAATGCAACAATACTTGCATTCAAGGTGTGTGTGTGTGCAACGGGAAAACCAACGAAAAAAAATGGTGGGGGGAGAATATTTTTGATGAAAGAAAATGAACCGCTAAATGTAACGTTTTGATTCACTGGTTTTCATCTCTTATCTTTTATTTCTCGAATTGCTTTACTCCAACATCTTTTATTTTATTCCTTCACACTTTTATATCAGAAATTCTCCCCTAACCTCCTGCCTGAATCTCAGATGTGCTGAGAGGATGTTAACGCTCCTGCTGGACAGTGTTGGCTGCAGTCTGTGTAGTTTATAGGAACTATGGCAGTTCCGAAAACAGGCAGGAGACACGGGAGCGCAAAATCGTATATATTTGCAAAAAGTTTTCATTGAAAAATTAATTAAACTGGTTAGAGTTTGGTTTGAAATAAAGTTTAGATTTTCAGTAGCTTTTCGATGGTTTCATTAGAGCCATTAGCAGTTCTTACTGTAATGGATTTATATGACTGGCACATGGAGGGCAAAAGCCACCAACAAACCAGATATAAGAGCGCCACAGCTAAGTGAATACTGGCGTGGACAATACTACTGGTGTGGAGATAAACATTATAGAGAATAAATGAAAGTGGTGAAGCGTTTAGAGTAATGGAAACATTTTATACCAGAAGTTTTTCTTTATGCAGAGGGAAATCAATGACTGGAACAGGTTGCCGGGAAAGGTGATAGGGGTCAGGACTTGACTTATTTAAAAAGCAGTAATGGGGGCCGGGGGAGCGAGAGAACGGTGGGCTTGGGGTTCTGGAGGGATGAAGATCAAATGGGACAGAACCTTCTTCATCCACACCAATCTTGTCATCTTGTGACTTCCAAATGAGAACAAGAAGTGTAAAGAATCTGCAGTGTTGGGGGTGGTTACATGTTGGAGGTACCGTTCCTCAGATGAGATGTTCAAGCAACACCAGTCTGCCTGTTCAAGTGAACGTTAAAGACCTCATGGCACTATTCAAAAAGTAAAAGGCGTTTCTCTGAATGTCCTTGCCAACAATCCGCCAACTAAAATTGGTGCATAACTTCATGGCTGTTTGTGGGACACTGCTGTGTGCAAAATTGAATGCTGCTTTCGCCTATCAAACACACATTCCTTATTACACTTTACAGTAATATCACGTGACGTTCTTAGAGACTCCCTCCTGATTTGAAAGGCACAATAACACTGCTAAAGATTATTACTGTGTAAAATGTTTGATTGTGGAAACAGAGTGAACGAAAGGGAACTTACTGGTTCTCCAGGATGGCCGATTGGTCCAGGATATCCTTTTTGTCCCTGAATGAAAGAGAAAAACATACCCACTGTGAAAAAAAACAAGATAAACATGAACACGCTTGTGAAAAATGATACGTATTGAAAGGACTTGTACTTAAAAATATGCACACGACAGCAAACCTATGATAGCACGGCCTCAAACAAAATGTACAAATACTGAACATTTATTTGGGGGGGGGGGGGCGATCGATAGCAACATCTGGCAGGCTTTCCTGTTGCTTGTCCAGCTAGGGCTGTCCTATCCCTTAGTGCTTTGGCTTGAAGGGTCATTAACAGGAGCTGTGTTGGAGAATTCCCTGCTCCCAGTGACGGGTCTGCCCCTCCAAGTCCGGCTGATGAGCCAGGCTGGCTGTGCCTCCATCAGCAGTGCCCTTGTGTATTAGCTCAGGAGCTGCACTACTGAGAGCACCACAAAGGGTTGGCTCAAACCCAGTGTTCCTTTGCCAAACCTGTCACCTTGTGGAGCCAGTTCAGCTCCAAGGAGACCTCGCGTACCTCCCCCTCAAGGAGGATACGTCACTAGTTTGTTACATGACATCCGACAAATGTTGTCAGTCGGTTTGAATCCTCACTCGCTTAGATGGTAAGTATCAGGAACTCCCTGCGAGCTGAACAGTTGCACTCAATACATATTTATGGTAGAACGCCACATTCCCTATGTTTTCAAATAATACAAACCAGAATAATTGAAACATGTTTTTAACTTTACGAAGTGGAACAATCAAGAGGGCCATAAACATCTAAGACACAATAGGAAGCCATTCCAACCACTGTAGTAGTATCGTTAATATTCTCTGAAGCTGGCACACATCTAAAACATTTTTAAATTAATTGTGGAAACTATGGTGCGATGAAGCAGGGGTCACAGAGGTGGTGGAACTGCATTTCAGCTGCAATTGCAGCAGGCCAAAAAAGCACTACAACTCGTAAAGTCACCGTTCAATGCACTACACACACTCTTGTTTGCAGTTCGCCCACAAAGACACAGTCATTGCAATTTATAGTATATGCTGTGAAGTGCTTGGAGATGTTGTTCTGAAGTAAAAAACACTCTACCAAGTGCAAGGATTATATTATTAGTATACAGAGCACCACTCTGCTCACTGTACTAGGGTTAATTCTCTATGAAGCGCTGGTCCATATTACTCTAGGACAGAGGATGGATGATCTTCATTTCACAAGATTCACGATAACACTGCAGCCAAACAGGCAGTAGACAAACAGTAGGAAACTTACCAGTGTCTCACACTGGCTAAACCATGTAGTTTTAACTGAGTCAATTCCAGCTGTGCCCTAATTCACACATTGGGGTCCTAATTCTTTCATTCCTGCCAACCACACCTGTGTTCTCACTTTATCCCTCTGGATAAGATTCTTTTCTTTAACTCTGCTTCTCTGGTTTCTCAGAAGAGCGAAACTCTAAAGGCGTTTCAAAGACTTCTAGCTGACCCCAAAACTATGTAAAAGCCTCGAAGTCTGTAAAGAGTTGGATGTACAAATTTGGACTTGTGTCTGGGTGCACAGCAAACATACTGATGGAATTAACAGAAACATAATTTTTATGATGAGCTACCAATGACTGGGAATAGACATGTTTTTTTTGCTACGTAGGAACAGGAGTAGGCCATTCACTCCTTCGAGCCTGTTCCGCCATTTAATTAGATCATGGCTGATAGGACCTCAACTAATCCTTTCAATTCCAATTTCCCACTTTCTCCCCATATCCCTTAATAGCCTGACCTACCAAAAATCTATCACTGAACACTTGTCACTGTGTCTGACCACCAACAAATGATCATCATTACACAAGGTCAAAGACTAATGTAAATAAAATGCCTTCAGGCTTTTGAGTTGACAACATATTTTTCATAGCGACATATTTATTGTTTACAATAAAACACCACAAATCTACATGTATTCAACAACACTGGGTTCCAGTTAGAAATAAATTCAGAGCTGCAAGATACCAGCAAAAAATGGATGTTTTTGCTGGTGTCTTGCAGCTCTGAATTTATGCAAGGTTACTAAGACTGTGATTTAGTCGCTCAATGCAACTGTAAGCCAGCAATGAGAAGGTAAGTGTTTAATTAGCATTCTGCAGTGTAATGGGTGAAGGGGGCAGAGACTCAAAGAGAGAGCAAAACAGAAAATGAGAGCGAAAGAGAGCGAGAAAGAGAGCCACAGACACACAGATTGGAAAGTCAAAAAGGCTCAAAGAGAGAAATAGAGTCAGAAAGAAAGAGTTTGTGAGAGAAAGAGTTCGAGGAAGAAAGACTTAGGTAGTCAGAGAAAGAGAAAGAGGGGCACAATGTGGTGCTAAAGTGACAGTTTAACTCTCGATGGAATTTTTTTTGGTTAGCACTGCAGTCCATAGGTATTTTGCTTATCTCCACTGTTTCCATATCGACAATGAAGCTACACTGGTTTTCAGTGAACCACTTTATATGAAGGTTCAAGCTAATGGAAACCTATGGCACTGCACACATTCTTTCTCCGAAAGCTCTTCTCTGACCTGGACTTCAAAGGTCGAGGCAACTTGCAATAGCAGTAAAACAACAGCACCCAAATACAAAGGAGCCCTTTCAAACTTTTCATAATAAGCTTGTCTTATTCTTGCGTTAACATTTGTTAGACATGCTAGGCAGCAATGTAAATATTGTTTCCGGCAGCAGAAAAGCACCTTTTTCTCTGGTTGCCTAAACCCTGAGCCCTCAACTAACTCATAGAGCTCAACAAAGTACTTTCCCAACTCATGGTCTATACAGATCTGTTCCTCCCAGTGGAGAATCACCATAAAAGGATATCATTTTGAAACAACTAAACATATCCAGCAAATCGTATTGCTCTGGTTCTGACAATCCATCCCGAACTATAAAGAAGCTAATGACACTAACATCTTCAGATATTCTGGGAACATTTTTAACTGAAACGATTCTGCTCCCGACAGAGGAGGAATTTTCATTAAAACATAATAATAATCCTCGCATTTGATGCAGTGGTTTATTACGTCTTCGAGACGTCTCAAAGCGCTTCACAGAATATACTGTAAAGCAAATTGACTGTATATTTTGCGGGCGAAACACGGCAGCCAATTGCGCACAGCAGCGTCCCCACAAACAGTCGTGGATTGAGTAACCAAATTAGTATTTTTAAAGAAACTGAAGCGATTATTACCACCCGGAAAAGGGACCCAAAAATCAACTAACAACTAAGTTCCCACTTACTGCTGGGTAAACAGAGGCGTGTGGAGTAAGGAAACTTGCCCAACATTTCGGGAATCGAACCCAGACCCTCTCGCTTGCGCGGCGAGTGAGCTAACCAATACGCTACAGGACTCCACAAGGACTCTATGCACGAGTTATCTGTAGTTACAGAAAGTGAGCATTCGCCTCCAGAACGCCTGACAAACCCTATTAGACTTGATAAGAACAACATGACGGAATATCCAAAATATCTCGTTCTACTACTGGAAATCTTATTTGTGCAGAAAAGTGATCATCTTTTCTTGGCAGATGCAACATTCTGCACATGCAATACTGGCACAATACTCTCTGGCCCTGTTCATGTTTCACAAACATTTTTCTGCTCACAGAACTTTTAAATCCAGGGTTTGTTTTGTCGACCGACGCATAGCACCCACCGCAGCAGTCATTCACAAACTCCACGCCAGGTAATATTGAACAAAATGTTTCACTCATAGGATTTAAAATAATTTTAACAGAAAAGGGCTTCCATTAAATCCTTGTGTGAAGACAACGGCAGAGCGGGTGCAATTTGAGAGATAACATTAATAGTCTTAATTACACAAGCAAATTATGCCATCATAATTTCAAGAACTGCCTACCCAAAGCATGAGTTCTCGAAAGAGCAAGGAACAATCTTTAGCGAGAAGATTCTTCCAAGGACATCTGATAGCAGTACCCAACTTATATCATATCCTTGCTTGGCTCCAATTGAGACCGCATGATAGATGATTAAACCAAGCTGCTGGACTGTGGTGAGGATGCTATCATCCCACCAGAAAACTCTAAGCAGACAATTGATTCACTAGTGATATACATGGACTTAACTGCTATTTGAGATGAATAGGAAAAACAAATACCCATGTCATTAATATCCTGAGGATCGAAGCTTGATATTCCAAAAGCTCTGATCCTGGAAATGGAATAACAACAGCAACTTTCATGTTAATAAAGTACATCTCAAATGGGACCTCGGAAACTTTGCATCTGGTGATGTGCAGGTGGGGTTTTGCATTCATACTGCAAGGTGCAGATCCGCTTTACTCCTGGCACTCGGCACATGCTCAGAACACCAAGGTCAGCTTTTTTTTTGAAAAAAAACGTTATTAAAGAGTCAAACCATGAGTTTCATAGGCCAAGAGAGTGCAGATTATGAGGGCAGCTAGCCAAGTGCAATATTCACTCTTTACATTTATACTGCAGCGAATGCATATGAAATCATTTCTGAAACTATCTTGGTAGTTTCAGGATTAAAGCTCCAGTGGGATTCACACTGCTTCGGTCTCTATTTACACAGTGCATTGGCAGTCCATGTATAAATAGAAATGCAGCAATAAACACATCTAGATTTATTTTTCAAATGCCACGATTGAATAACTAGTTCTTTTGTGACATATTTCTCACAAATTGAGCTGCTTGAAAATATGTTCACTTGTGAGCTCTGCATTCAGAGCGACAGTTTGGTTTCCAAGTCTTATTTAGATTTCCTTTGGTCTTTCTTTTACTAAGCCAGAGGATTTCTCAGTTTTGCATATTGAACGATTTAAGCTCTGGCATCTCATTTTGGAAGGCTGCATCAAGAAGATATTCTTTCTTCTCAGTCTCTAATTGCGTTAAGAAATCTGCACTCGGATCTAGTGGTTTGTGTTTTCAAAAAAGATTGCCCGTAAAAATCCAGCTGTGTATAAACTTCAAACATCAGCGATATCGACTTGAGTCGGGCTCTTTTAAATATTGTTTCAAACAACTTCCCCGTTGGGCAGATGGACATTCTTTAGTCCTGTGAGCAACAGAGCATTTTGTATCCAGTAATTATGGATGTGAAGTTTCAAGATGAATCAAGAGAGTGGCAAACCGAGATTAAATTCAAGAAGAGATCTGATTTCTTTAGAATATGATGTCTTACACAGTACTCACTTATGTATTATGAACCAGTGCCAACTTAGGTGAGACCAAAACCAGGAGCAGGGGTTTTCATTTCAGTGCCAACAAGCACATGCCAATGCAAACTGGTAACAGACGCCAAATCATTTTTTCTCTTTGCCTCTCCGAGTATAGTACCAGGCCAACAATCTCTTCCCTTCTTCTGGCCACCGCTTCCTCCCTCAGCACACACACCCGGGCAAAGTGTCGCCCTTGGTATATAAATCTTTCCCCACTAAAAACGTGGATTGTGTGTCTGTTGTACACACACTCGCAGCGTGTATAAAAACAAAACTAATTTTACAGCTGCAGAGCTGCCCAGCAATGTAAAAGTTCTACTCGAGAGAAGGGAGTTTCCCCGGCTATCCTGGCCAACAATCTACCAAATAAAACTGTGTGTTTTTTTGTATCATGGCTATCTGCGAGACACTTCTGTGGGCAATTGGGCTGCTACATTAGGCCACAAATCAAATATAACAATCCTTGCATTTGATATAGCGCCTTATCCTATCTTCGAGACGTCTCAAAGCGCTACACAGTATATACTGTAGAGGGAATTGACTGTATATTTTCCAACGATCCAAAAATCGCAGAATCAAGCCTCAAGATAAAACAGGACAGAATCTCGCTCACACCTGCCGATTGATACAGGTTTAATAATGAGATGGCAGTGGTACTATACTACCATGTGGGGACCTTTCAGCACTTTAAAAGGCAAGTGTATGGTATTCTACGGGCTAGTATTGTACGAAGTGAATCTCATGCTGGCAACATAAAACCTCACCAAGCTTAACTCCTAGAACAAGTGCTGATGGTTTAGAAGTGGAACCTCATGTAATTTGCATGATTACGCTTTTAAAATAAACCTCCCAAGTAAATTGAGATGAAAGCCTCATTGAGTCCTTTTGATCTTGGGGAATGAAAATGTTGTTACCTAACATCACAAAGGTTTTTTTTAAAAAAAAACTCTCAAAGGGAAGGGAATTTCTCCCAGTGTCCTGTCTTATAATCCACCAAATAAACTATGTTCCCAATTTTTGATTTGCTGGAGATATTTTACATGCTGTGATATTAAACTAATGATGTAAAGCAACGAGAGAATGCACAAAGTGGAACTCTAACCAGTTTACAACATTTCAGTATCTGCGGTCCTGTAATTTAAAATAAGGCAAACTATAATTTTATCCAAAGTAGTCTCGACATGCAGTGCATGTTCTCTACCAGACTTGGAAACAAATATATGTTGGTTGAAAAGTCTATCTTGCAAGATGCAGAATGCTGAATGTCATCCATCTGTATTATAATTGGCGTAGGACTCAAAGTCCCAGAGCTTGGGTCTGAATTTCCTTTTGTGTTGAGCATAATATTACAATGTTTTTACAGTGTAATATTTTTATAGTTTGACCCTCTAGCTACCACAGACAACACACAGGGAGGGAGGGGACTACTGAGTAGTATAATCTCAGCAGCTTGTGGAGAACCAAGTGCCTGCTGGCGAGAGTTGAACCATAACTCAAAAATGTAAGCAATTTCACAGGAGCAATAAAACAGTCATTTTGAATGATTTGACAATGCTTCTGTATTGTTAGCATAAAGACATTATCTTTGTCTGCAACATTAGTCATAACAACAATCAATCTTTAAACAATAAAAGTATAATTTATGAGCTCCTCGATGGAAACTATGTTGAGATTAATGAAAATAATGCCCAGTATTAGAGGGCAACAATTACATTAGCTCGCGCTTGAAAAGAGATGCTTCTATTCCGCTGTGCGCAATTGGCTGCCGTGTTTCCCCCACAGAATACAAGTCAATTCACTTTACAGTATATTCTGTGAAGCGCTTTGAGACGTCTGGAAGACGTGATAAGGCGCTACATCAAATGCAATGATTATTTATTATTATACACTTTAAAGAAGTTTATAAAATTCTAAATAGGATTGAAACAAACAAGCAAAGAACAATACTTTCAGGTACTCCAAGACAGCAGACCAAGAGAGCTCAGTGATAAACAGCAACTTCAGGATAGACACCATAAGGATAATTAACAACTGGAATGATTACCAGGAAGGTTGGTTGAGGCCAGGACTCCAGACTCACTTAAAAAATGAGTTGAGCTACATCGGACTGTCATCTTCGACCAAGTGAGTTCAAGTCCTGATGTGGGGCTTGAACGCACAATCTTCTGACTCAGAGGTAAGAGTGCTACCACTGTACCAGACTGTTATGGACCCAAAACAACACATTATATCAGAAACTCTGATATAATAGCTGTCCTTTTTGACGAGAACTATTAGTGACGCCTAAGAATTATTGGAGGGTTTAAATCACCACTGCCCTCCACATCTTTCTTATCTTTGCTTTTGTTCCTTCCCTCTTCACCAGTGGTGGCTGCTCTCTGAGAGCCTGGGACATGGTAAAAACATAGAGACAGGAGTAGGCCATTCAGCCCCTCGAGCCTGTTTCGCCATTGTATAAAATCATGGCTAATCTGATCAAACTTCCTGAGCCAGTGCTGAACGAAGCTCGTACAACTGATGTCTCAAGGGGACCAGAGAGAACATGCGCAGAAATCTACTGATTAATTCTTCCAATATTCGCTGTTTACTAAGGCTCAGGTATTCCTTGTTCCTTTCACACAGTTTCCCCGAGTGGTTTGGGCAATAGTTGCTTCTGAGAGTCAGGAAGTGGTGAGATATCCGATGGATGAGTCACCATTCCCACATGGAAAGTCTGTGTTATAGTTTTCAGCGTGAGCGGGACCCAAGTGAGCCCCATTCTCTGGATAAAACCAGGAAATAATACGAGTTCAAAAGATAATGAAATGCAAATTTTACATGTACAGTTATAGGGTTGATTTATGACGGGTTAGCGTCTTGAGTGCTTCAATTTGGGTTGTGTAAAACCATTCTGGAATTGCAACTACACTGACAAAATAGATACTTTATACTACATTTGTGGTTTAATTTCTGATGACTTATCTTGGTGCAGGACGGTTTCATCGGTAATCTACAGGAAACACTTAATTACTGAAAGTCCTTGCAAAGTAATCACGCTTCATCAGAATACAATAGTTTGAAACATTTCAGTGAGCTCAGGACTGGAACTCTTTGGAATATGCGTGGAGTGGAGTCAACGATCAATTTTATTTGGGGGGACTGTTGGTCACGAAGGGATATCTGGCTTTATTTACGCTGCACTTATACTGTCAGCAGTATTTATGTATTTTTCATCAAGTCTAAGGAGCTTTGAAAGGAAAATGAGTCAGCAAGCAAATCGCTGTTAAAGTGATATCATTATATTTTGCCCAAGGTAAATCATTTCTCATTTATCTTCCTATTTTTGTGGATTTTTGGCATCAAAGAATGTATAATAAGAGCCACCCCAGTTGTATTTTCAGTAGTCAAAGCCACATGACATGACTTCAAGGATGAAGCATCTGGTTTGTGGTCTAAAAGTTGCTATTACCAGGTAATTTATTCAAGTGATTATTTTTGCAATGCACTATCATGTTATGCATTATATAGAAGGTCAATTGGTGTGAACGAAGTTCAATGCAGGTATTTTAATCAAGGGATTGTTCCAGTAACGTTGGACCCCAAGAACGCAAAGATGGAGCTGTTTATTTTAACTGACTGGTCTAAATGGAATTTACAAGTTGCTATTTCTATTTCTTATAAAACGCGGACACGTGGAAACTTGTAATGCAGTTTCCAGCTTGGAATCACTGAGCAAAATGCCGGAATGTACACCATCTGCTCAATCCTAACATTTCGGAAACATTTCCCTGGACTTGCTCGCACCCAACTCAATGGTGTGGCATAGTACATAACATGGACATGTACTGCGTTCATGAAAATATTCACTCAGGGATGATGAGGCTATTTTTGAAGATAGTTAGCGCAATGCGAAGTTCTATTTCAATTTTAGAAAGTATATCTGGCCAAAAGTGGTAGATTGAGAGTCGAGGGGCAATGATTTTGAATCAATTAGTGCATTATATATTTGTACTCCAGTGCTCCAAAATGCTTCAGAATTCTGTCCACACTCTGGCTCGTCTCTCTCTCTCTCACACCTTTCAACAGGAAGCCTGCCTGATTTTTCTTCCCTCAGTGAGACAAATTATAACTCCTCCAATTATAACAACAAACTGCTTCCCGCACCGACAAAAGCGAACTCGGTACAGACCAGGATTTGAATCGTATATAGCCGAGTGCTACATTGAGCAGTGACAAGCTGGGGCTCGTATCTTGAAAGAAGGCGACTCAAAGGGCACCTTTGTAGAGGTGCATAAGATTTTAAATCGGATTGAAAAAGTAAACCCAGAATAATACTTTATCATGCACCAAGACAGTAAAACAAGAGGGCAGAGGTTTAGTCGAAAAGGACACCAGGAAGTGTTTTTTTTTCCCCTAGAGGGTAATTACCAAGGACCAATTGGTAGAACTGAAGCACCCTTATCCTTATCAGACTAATGTGATAAATTAAAGTTTGCATGATATCTTTTGCAGCTGGTTCGTTAAATACTGTATCTATCTGTTTTTAATTTGGCGTCCCTAGTTCTCGGAGCAAATATTGAGTTCATTTCGACTCGCGCTACAAAGTAAACAAAATAGATCCAACAAAAGTCTGATGTTGACAGTGGGCGACAAGCAATCTGCATTGCCTACCTTTCGACCCGACAGCCCTGGAAGTCCTAGAGCACCAGGATGGCCTCGATCACCCTGCAAACAACAACAACAAATTACATTTGTAGAGCGCCTTTCACGTCAGGAGGACGTCCCAAAGCGCTGGCACGAACAAAATCTGCATCTCGAAAACATTTAGGACACGGGCGTATTCTACCCAGCATACAATTTCCAGTACAATTTACGTAATCCAATCACACTTTGTAGATAAGTAATATTTGTATCAGTGATTGCACTGGTTTTAGAAATAGATTGTTAGTGACTAAGCATCAGTTGAAGGAATAACAAAGGTTCTAAAGGCACAGGCGATGAATGTGCAACATCAGCTACTTACACAAGCACCGATATTCGTGGAATTAAAGCACCGTTAACTTTACTACGCTAATAACGATCACTGACAAAGCACAATGATGGAAATCTCCACAAGGGTGGAGGGATTGTTTTGGTATGAATTCCTTGATATCAGGAGAAAATGTGGGAAATGGCATTAAAAACATAATAATAATAATCATTGAATTTGGTAGAGGACCTTTCACATCGGGGAGGAGTCTCAAAGCGCTTCACAGGATTCACTCTAGATAGAGTAGTCACTATATATGGTGTGGGCGAATACAGTAGCCAATTTGTACAAAGCAATACACCACAAACAGCCATGCCAATGACCTATTTTTATCCAGGGTTTGTTGGCTGGGACTCTGGGGAAGAAACCCGTTCTCTTTTTGAACAGTGCCATGGGATCTTTAACATTTTAACAACGGAACAGGCTGAAAAGGATCTTGGTTTAAATAAAGGACAGCATCTCCAACAGCGCGCGCAGCAAAACTCCAGCCTGGACTGGATGAATTGAAAATCCTCAAATGGGGCTTGAACCTACAACTTTCTAACATCAGAGGGGAGAGTGGCACCAGGTGAACCAGGCTGATACCCAAAGAAGTTGCTATGATCTATTAATATGAGTGAACAGGAAGGACAGGCCCAAAAGTCTTCTTTTGTTCTGATATTCTTAGTATAAATGAACATTTGTTTCAGCCTTTGTATTTTAATAGACTAACCTTCAGTCCATTTGCTGCTTTGCCTGGAGAGATGCCGGGTTCGCCTTTCAGTCCCTGAAAGAGGATAGGATGAGAATGAATAAACAACAAAATTACATTTATAGAGCACCTTTCACGTCGGGAGGACTGGACGATCAGGGGTCAGGACCCGAGCATGGGGGAGGGTTGGGGTAGGGGTGAGGGAAGGCAGAGAGGTGGGAGGGCAACTGAAGGCACGATCAAAGAGGAGGGTCTTGAGACCGGCCTTGAAGGAGGCGAGGGAGGAAGCGAGGCAAAGGGACCGTGGGATGGAGTTCCAGAGTGTGGGGGCAGAGAGGCTGAAAGCCCGGCCACCGGGTGGGAGATATGGAGCAGACCGAACCCGCTGAACGGTGGGAGCGGGCAGGTTGGTAGGGAGTCAGCAGGTCAGAGAGGTAGGAGGGGGCAAGGCCATTGATGGCCTTGAAAGTGAGTCATGTGGAACCACCAGGTTTCCCACTACTTTCTGTAAAAACAATAAATTGCTCTTCATTCAACAGCATTTAGGAATGACTTCTTAAGATGATTATTCATGCTCGAGTATGACCTGATTACCAAGGCCGTGGTTCATATTAAAATAACTGAAGAATAGGTGTTCGGAGATCAGAAATCTAAAGTTCCACACAGTAAATCTTTGCTGACTTTCCAAGAGCAGGGCAGACTTCCAAGCTCTCTTCTACATTCGTAATATTCTATCATCTGAACTCTAGAGTTGATAAATCAAGACATACTGAAGGAAAACATCTTGATTTTATTATGAGAAATAGGACAATTTCCAGTTTTAAATACATTTTAGAGATTGGAAAATATTCAGATTCAAACTTCAAGTGTGTCTGGACAGGAATAGTATCTTCCTGCATCTTTGAATAGACAATCCCATACTCGAGGCTGCCCCCCTCCCCTCCATGTAAAATTGGTTATTCACTTCATGGCTGTTTGAGGGACATTTCTGAGCGCACATTGTCTGCCACATTCACCTAAAAATAGAGTCACCGCAATTTGCAGCTCCACATCAACAACAAAAAAGTCTTGTTTATGTAGTAGTGCCCTTCACATGTGGTAGAGCCTTGGAGAGCTCTTGCCAAGCAGGGAGAAAGGAATGGTGACTACAGGCACGGTTGAAGAGGAAAGTATTTGAAGACGGTCAAAGAGAGAGCAAGATGGAGGGAGGGAGGCAGGGAGTTGAACGGTATTGGTCGGTGGGGTGGAGAGGTCGAGGTGTGTGTAGAAGGCTCAAAATGGCTGAACAGAGGAAGCAGGTAGAAGATTGGCTGTGAGCAGGTTGGAGAGTTAGGAGGCGCCGTGACATGAAGTGATTTGTGGATGAGGTGTGAGGATTTCGAACTCAATCAGTAAATCCTGTGAAGCACTTTGAGATGTTAAAGGCGCTCCAATCAAATGCAAGGTTTATTATATCTTTCTTGAGCAATCAGCTAAATATTATTAAGTGAATTTCACAATTGACATGCTAGGGTAAAAAAAAATGATAACTCCTACAGATGGTGACTTGCTGGAATAAAGTTTTAAGAGGCCAGCTGCTTTCCAATCCTCACCGCAGAAGCCATTCTTCATCAAAAAATGGGCATGATAGATAAACAGACTAGAAACCATGGGGTCATCATCACTTCCAAGGGCATGACTGTCATTACTGGCTATCCATACGCTAGATACCTTAATAGATCACGCTGTATTCGCTATATATATTTTAGAATAATAGAAAAAAACACATCCGTTGACATAAGAGAGAGACCCATTCATTTACATTCTTTCTCCTTGTGAAATTTTCGTCCCCATATGGCATGGTTATGCTGACAGATGGAAAGTGGCTTCATTAATAATTTCCAGATTTAGTGGCCCATGCATCTGATGAGTAAGTTTCATGTTGTTCTTAAAACATAACTGGCAGCAAAAAACCCATTCAGGAACACAGCCAAATAAAACAACTAACTTCATGACAAAGTGTATATGAATGTTACCCATTAGAAGGAATTGAATTTTCAGTCAATTCATTTGAAAGCAAGTGACAGACTATATTTTTAGATGAATGTGAGTGATAGTATGGATATTTAAGCCAGGCAATACTTACTTAGTAAGTATTAGTAATAGTAAAGTAAAATCTAAATATCTTACAATCATAACAGTATAATTAGACCCACATTGCCTACCGGCCTATTTCTACAAATGAGACCCAACCATATGTCCCACCTCTGAAATGTATTTAACAGAGGTCAATTTTAAAACACATGCTTTTGTTCGTAAATACTTGCCATGTGTACAGAATCAACGATGCAATATTGTCAAACAATTCCTGTACAGCATGTAATTAATTGTTTGAACTACATTTGGAAGTTACTAGAATTTATGGTTATGTTGTCAATTTCTTGAGACCATAAAATACTACACATCTCGTGTACATCTAGTTTTAAGTTCAGTTAGTGAAATATGGCAAGGCTTGAGTAACAGAATGACATGGAATGATACAGCCTGGAAACCAGCCACTAGGATCATCTAGTGTATGCTGGTGTTGATACTACAATTGTGGCATTTTATATAGCACCTTTCAAGTCAGGTCCACGTCTTAAGCACTTCACAGCACTTACCGTGGAATGCTGTGACTATGAACCATTTCTAAATTACAGACCAACAAAAATAAATGATTTAACAGTGCAAAAAGAATAAAATGAAAAGTATGCTCGACAGGAACAGACCCAAGAACATGGCTGCACATTTGCCAAAACTAATTCTGGCTTGTTTTCCAATTGTAATTGGGACTAGAACAAAATCTCTGGAGATTAATTTCTTACATTTTTTTTTCTCTTATAAGGTTCAATGCTCGGATTGGAACAGTCTGAAGGAAATATTACTGTGGCTGGTTGGGATAAGTTGCAATGACTACAACTGATCACTGTTTGGAGAAAAGGCAAGCGGTATATAGATTCTCAATCCCAAGGATATTTTCAAACACATTTTTAGATTAGATCTGTCATTAAGTGATTAGTCAAGCCAGTCTGTTGGAGCCATTGAACAACATGGTCCTTTATCTAGAAATAAATCGGCACTACACTTGACAATGTTCATCATCGTGTCTTGGAGCGCTGCACACATGTCTGGCTCAGGAATGAGACTATCAAAACCACCGTAGAAAATCAACTTGATTCCAATCTTCCATTGCCAGCCATGTCCACTTGGGAGCCAACCCAGTCTCAAAGAAACTTACATACACTTCAAAAAGGATTGTTTCTACTTTGTCATGAAACACTTTAAATTCTGCAACTGTAATCACTTTATATATCAGTGCTACCACTGAAATTATTAACTTGGATACACAGTCAATTCTCTTTTTTGCTCTGTAATGATCAGAAAGAGTTTGCAATGAAATTTCCATTCTAGTTTTCAATTCAAATGTGTATGATTTTCACTAAATACTGTATCCATATTCACAATTTATATAAGCAGCAAAATAAGTTTTCCAAATCTTTTTTCTTTTTAATTATCCTCATAATAGAAACAAAACCCAATAGCCAGACCTCTGGCTCAATCAATCGGTCAAGCTTTCCATGTACAATGACAAGAAATGTTATAAACGACTCTGAATAAACTGGATTTAATTGAAATTGTAGCACACAACTTTATAGTCTAAATCTTGTAAATGTTTCTATTCTACAATACTATTTGCCAATACTTCCTAGAAAGCAAATTCCGCTTAAGGTACCGGTATATACACACCTGCCAACATCACCCAGAAGTTTAATGTTATCTCTGAAGTTCAAGATAATGGGATTTTGACTGTAAAATACTTCCACATGTTAGTCTAGTACAACACTGAGAAATGTCTTCTTCAGTTTAAACAACTATGTGCAGAGAGATGAGGCGTCTTAAAACAGGAATTATCTCTTTCATATCCACGAATCTTCCCAGAAGGTTTCAGCGATCTGGTTGGAAGCTCCTTGAATATGACTGCCACCAAAAACTTTCCAGTCTTCTATGACTAGAGTGAATTATGTGAGACTGACTGACATTCTTTAAAGCACGACATTTTCGCACGTACAATAACTACAGTTGATGCAGCCAGTCAAAACTGTCCGTAGCCAGGTGACGAGCTAAAGCTTTCACTCATTATGCCTCACGTGACACTCCAGAAAAATAACTAAAAACTATCAAGGCTAACCTGTCATTCTAAACGGAAATGTCAAGGCATCTTTTGTAGCCAATTGATCTTTTCGATCACCATAAACGAAAAAAATCTTCAAACCTGCTCCTGACAGGTATGTCGGCATACCACACTAATGTGTCTGCCTCGGAACTCATTCTCTGGCCCGATACCAAAACCTGAAATGGGCTTCAGTCAACATCACTGTTCAGAGTTTGAATCTATTAAACGTGCCAAGTGCACATTGCTTCTGAGTTCACTGGCTCTGAGGTAAGGCATCCCACCACGTTGAAATGCTTACAGTATAAGCTGTACACTATAAGCAGTCTGTCTTGATAGAAAGCTCTTGAGCTCGGATTATGCGATAATAATCCTTGCATTTAATATTAGTGCCTTATCACATCGTTGAGACATCTCAAAGCACTTCTGATAATATAATATGAAGTGGTGTGCATTTTGTGGGCAAAACGCAGCAGTCAATGTACGTACAGCAATGTCCCACAAAGGGCCTTGAAGTGAGTGACCAATTTTATCTTGGGTCTGTTCTCAATTAGTTGGATTTTTAACTTCCCCTGAACAGGCAGGTGGGACCTCGGTTTAACACCTTATCTGAAGGACGTCGCATCTGACGATAATAATAATCCTTGCATTTGATATATCACCTTATCACGTCGTTGAGATGCCTCAAAGCACTTCACTGGATATACTGTAAAGTGGATTGACAGCATTTTTATTAGCGAAACGTGACAGCCTATTGAGCAAAGCTCTGTCCCACAAACAACCATGAAGTGAGTGACCAATTTTATCTTGGGGGATTGTTGGCCAGGACACCGGGAGAAACTCCCTTCTCTTTTCGAATAGCGCCACGAGATCTTTAACGTCCACCTGAACAGGTAGACGCTTGATGTTTAATGTCTCTGTTTAATGTCTCATCCAGAGGACGGCACCTCCGACAATGCTACAGCCCCCCCCCCCCCTCTCAGCGCTGCATTGGAATGTCAGCTTAGGCTATGTGATTCTAAGATGTGAAGGTAGAATATCTTATTGCCATTATGTAATGTCAATGAATCTATATTCTTATTATCTGCATAAAATCTTGCTCTGTCTCTTGTGAAGTCATCAGCACTCACTATTTCACGAAAATCAACGCAAATGTGACATAAAAATATATTGATCACAATCTGCTCCAATAGTTTCCATAGAATACTACAGCACAGATGGAGGCCATTCGGCCCATTGTGCCTGTGCCAGTTCTTTGGAAGAGCTACCAACGTGTCCCACTCCCCCGCTCTCCCCACTCCAATCATACTGATGACGAGATACATTTTATAAATGAGAAAGAAAGTTTGCGTTGTTTGCAAGATGCAAGAACGATTCTGTGTTGGAAGAATGAATCAGAGAATCTGATTTTTTTTTAATGAGTTGGGACTTTATCTGAAGATTTTTTTTTACCTACCTTAATACCAGGGTAACCCGGGCGGCCTGGGTTTCCATGAGGTCCTGGAGCTCCCTTTGAAATGAAAACAGAAAATAATCAAGACAAGAAAATTTTGAACATGCACAGCTTCATGATGTCAGCTCACAGAATAAATATTTAACGTTTACATGATTCTGATGGGTAATAGATGAGAAGAAACATTTTCATTCATTGGAATGTTTCCAACAACTGGATACTGAGGTGGAGACCATAATAACATCTAAAAGAATCAGAAAGCATTTGAAGTGGATCTATATTAAAACAAGGAGTTGGGATTACAGTAGCTAAATCAGTAGTGGAGTTAGTACAAGTATAGTGTGAATGCTAAATTATGCCATATTTTCTATGATTCGACAATGGGCAATGTATATTTAATAATCCTTAAATAATAATCCGTATATTTGGTATAGAGGCTTATCACATCGTCAAGCACTTCATAGGATACACTGTGAGTAGTGTTGCTTTGTGCATTATGAATTATACATAATGCATTATGAATGTCTGTTTAGCCAATTTACTATTTTGCCAATTTCTGTGGATTTATGATTGACTAAGTTAATCCATGGTAAATCTGTTTAAGGGTTAAATCAAATATAGTATGATGATTATTTAGTCGAAAAAAAAACTATGTTGATTAGTTTGTTTCGACAGTCTGTTTAATTCCTTGTTATCCAAACTACACACACACACACACATTCACACCTGGGAATAAAATCAATTATTATAACTCTATTGGCTATGGTGCAACCTTATGTTAGTCACCAGATCTGTGTTGATCGATTGCTTGACATGGTGTTTCCAAGATAATAACCTTTATACTGTAGGACACTCTTCACTTGGCTCCCAAGAATTATTCAATAATGATAGTGGAGTGTGGCCAAAGATTGTGATGCTCTGCTCGCATAGGTTTTACTCATGGTTTTCTACTCAGTGTTTGGAATGAAGGAATTGAAAGAATTCATAATAGTAATGTGACCACAAAAAAAAAAGAAGTCCGCATCAGTTGTGCCAATACATATCCCAGCTTGCTAAAATTCACACTACATGACACTCGACTTTTTTTTTTTTTTTTTTGCTTGATTGTAAAAACTGAGGAGCCTGTTTCCAATAACTTCTGCCAGAATCTGTATCACATGTGTAAATATGAAATTGTATTCATAGGATTTATAAATCTATTTTGGTCTAGAATGGCTTTATCCGTGCTGAAAATAGCAGCCTTCCGTTCTCTGAATAAAACGGCTTGAGAACGCATAAACAGGCGAGAATAAACTGTACTTCACAGGTCAAATTTCAGTCACTGCTTATGAACAGCAACACATTTATATTTCGCCTTTTACGTTAGGTTACCCTAAGGAAATCGGATTGCTTGTCGCTTTTACATAGCACCTTTGACGATTAAAATATATTAGATAAAGAAGGGGAGGCTGGTTTGGTGTTTAGGTCCTTAAAGTCTAAGTATGGATCTGCACTCAAAGTATAGAGAAGCATAAATGTAAATTCCTTCGATTGGCTAAAACATTAACCTGAGCCTGCTTTTCTGTTCAGGTAAACGTTAAAGATCCCACGCCACTATTCGAAAATAGAAGTGAGTGCCCTGGCTAACAATTCCCCAAATAAAATTGGTCATGACTGTTTGTGGGACATTGCTGTGCGCAAATTGGCCGCCCCTTCATCTCATCACTGCAACTTAAAGTAAATTCCTGCGAAGCACTTTGAGATGTTTCAAAGGCGCAATAAGGCACAACATCATATGTAAGGATTAAAGATTATCGTCCTGTTTCAGTTACTCTGTGTTGACCAGTATAACTGTGTACAATATTACTCTCTGTCCTATCACAGTGTGTAATTCCATTTTATATGAAGCAATATGCCCGGTTTCAGCACAATAACAATGAGGTTTTAGGCTGCAAGATGACAAGTAGTGGGCGTAGGTGGAAAATCAAGAGGCACGGGAGATTAGATTTATTCCCCTCCGCAGTGCGGTGGATATGGAACAGACTCTTAATCAAAGCAGCTGATGCTAAGTTGATTAACCCTGTCTAAATAACTGGATATGCATTTGCTTGGGAACAAAAACGAAAGATATCGGGAAAAGTGCAGACTGAGCAAAAGACATCCTCCAAAAAGGTACCACAAATTCTCAATGTGGGGGAGAAACAGATAAATCTGGGGGTACAAATACACAGTTTGTTAAGAGTGGGATTACAGGTAGAAAAGGCTGGGTTTTATATGCAGAGCCATGGAATATTCAATTAAGAAAGTGATGAAAAATCTGTTTAAGACGTTGGTTAGACTACAGCTGGAATATTGTTTTGAGTGCCACATTATAGAAAGGATATTAAAGCTACAGCTTCTTGGAACAGCAAACACCGACACAAAACATGAACTGAATGGCCTCCGCTGTCATACATTTCTCTAGTTCCATGGACTTAAATACAGATCACACTAATGTGACTGTTGAATTGTGTAATCATATACTGCGTTAGAATAAGGGGATGCTTAGTGTTGGAACTGGTTCAGATAGGTCAGCTGCAACAAACTGTTCAGTCAACCTGACAGATGTTTCAATACTAACGCGGTTTAATGTTATAATATTTCTACAGTCCAATCTTGAACCATCGCAAAACCGGCCAAAATGAAACACGATCCTCCCAATATCCAGCCAATTCTCAACAACTATTGACTCATACAGTGAGTTTCCTACAATCAGCTGAAATAACTGCGCTGCTCTTTATCTCCAGATAAATCTCAAGAACACTTCAGAATATTCGCTTCACAATGCCGTCCGTCTACGTCGCGAACAATTTCACACATCCAGTTACCGTTCACATCTCCGGAAGTTTGAGCGCTCAGCACAAGTACGCAGACCAGATAATTCTCACTTCAAAGCTGGAAGTTGAACACGCAGTAGATTGGCGGCGTGAACAGTATTTAAGACAGCTGTGATGTTACAAATGATTCTGAACGGTTCAGACTGTCAGTATCAAACTGGTGTGTAAAAAAAAAAGCAGATTTGAACAAGGCTGGTGTGAACCGCCTGAATTCAAACCCAGCTGGCGTTAACATCTTGATCTAATCCAGCCGGTGCGAACACTCTTATTTCGATCACGTTCATGGAAGGAGTTATATCGGAAGCCCTCTCGAGATATCTATCTAGTGTGAGCAGCCTATAAACAATTTAAACAGTCAAAGCTGTTCAAGCAACCACCTCAATAAACCATAATTTGCATTTACGTCGCACTTTTCTCATGTGTCTCGATGTTTCAAAAACTCCTCGACGATATTTTACCATGAAATGTAAAAGAGGCTTTCGTTTTTTTTTTTAAGATTTTATCACTCCAAATGGAAACAAAGCCCGTAAATTAACAAAAGAGCCTCTGTTCCTTTTCACAGTGATCAGAATAAATCCTTCCACCTTTCAATATGTTCCTACTTGCTGACCGAAAATCCATTCGCTCATCGTTTTAAACACAAGAAACGTTTTCATTCTGGTCGAAAAACACTATTTTCTTTTTTTAAAAAAAAAAATGTTTGGATGCCTCGCAGGTGACCAGGCCAACTCCTTTTTCAAATATTTATTTAAAAAAAACATGAAAACCTACTTTCTTTTACACAAGACTATGTGCTGTATGTGCCTTGTGGAACACTTCAAAATTTGTGGTCATGATAATGACGTGAGCCTCATTTTTAGTCTGATTACAAATTAACATAAAGTTAATTTCCTCCTCCAATTTACTTGTGAACATTAATGGATAAAAGTACTGGTAATTAAAATTCCCCACGTAAGATGGATTCGATGTAATCAAGTCTCAGCTTCCAGCTGTGGACGTCTGAATTCATTCAATCAGCATTTCTGAAATAAGTCACTGAAGATGTTTCACTGTCAGCAGACAAGCCATCTTGTTTCGGCAAATGATTCTGCGTTACAGGAAGCGATTAAAAGAAACCAAGGATGCTCAATGATGGTTTGATCTGTTTTTACAGAATTGACACCATCCTGAACTCACTGAAGAGCCCCATTCGTGCTTGCACATTCGTGCCTATGAGGTCAATAAGTGTCTGTCAGTGGATTCCTGGGGACCTGCCGATGCTGTGGCTATTTTCACAGTTTCCCAAACTGCCAGTCTGCCCCTCCTCGTGGCTTTCTTTCTTTCTTTACTTCTCCCAGTTTATTCTATTCAACATTCTCCGCTCCAATGAAAACAGATTCAGCTTCTCCCATCACTTCTTCTAACTGTAGCCCTTCATCTCCGCAATCATTCTCGCAAACCTCATCTGCATCCCACATTTTCATAACCTTCCGTGTTCCTAACCTCAGTTCTAATTGTTTTAACATGAAACAGTAACTCCAGCCATTTGGAGTAAATGTCAACTAGATTGGATTAGTAGACTTAAAACACACTTGGTTGTGTTTGATGTAATTTGAGGTTTGTTCAAGTGTCGGATTCTGAAAGGCAACTGTACAGATATAAAATACTGAAAATAAAATCAAAATGACAAGTTACTGCTAAAATTACTAAGAGAATCAAATTGAACCACTTACCCGAGGTCCTCTTTTACCGGGTATGCCTGGGTTGCCTGGAGAGCCAGGGGGGCCCTGCGAAGAATAACAATCTAATTAGTATATACTACAGTATTATAGAGCCATCATTTCATGTTTCAGTACAGCAATTAATTACTAATCCTATTTGAGGTGACAGGCTGTAGAGTGCTAGCCAGAACACCGACTTTTTTTTTCCCCACAGAGAATAAAAGGTTTTTCAGAAAACTGACTCAGGCTTGACAAGTTCATCTCTTAATAAAGACTTTATTTGTGAAAGGTCAATCTCTGCACTACGTGAAAGGGTGCAGAGCTCAGTGATGATTTTGCTGTTTCCCCAAACCACAGAGTTGGTATTGCTGATGTATTTTGCACAGGTTCCTCTGCAGAGCAATCCAATTTTTTTTTTGTTTTGGGGGAAAATGTCTGAATTTGCTTCTAATAGAAATTGGGGCTTAGAAGATACAGATTTATTTAATAGACTAGAACACCGTAGTTTTCTGCAATTATCATTGTTAATGTACCTATGACTAATTTGAGAATTTGACAGGTCAATAACAAGTTGTATATCTTAATTGCTATATTTTTGTGTATGTACATGAGTGCACAAACTTTCCCACATACAGCAAGACAATACTTATGATAATCATGTTTCCACATCAAGGCTGAGATGTAGGAATGGAATATCCGTGAAAGCTTTTAATTGCATAGTACGTGCAAAGTTGCAAGATAAATACAGCGTTAGAGAGACACTCATGCAAAACACAAAGTCTGTGTGAGAGTGAGGGAGACGCACTCACACGTACACACGAAGTCAGTCAGAAAGTCAGTGTGATCGACTGACCTGCAGAAAGGAGGAGAAAGTGTGTGGCAGTCAAAAGCAGTTGGAGAGTAAGAAAGGTGAGTGTAAGGAATTGGTAGAGTGGAGATGAGTGAAAGAAGAAGGAAAGAAAATGCCGACAACTGTGTGCACTATAACTACACTATAACTTCTGATGAAAGGTTACATCCTATTCCACATGGCAACCTCATGCCCACACTGTTTCACTTCCAATCAGTGTAGATACTGGCCTCGCTACGATATAAATATGTCTGTCGTACACCGCATGTCTACATATTTACATTTTGTCCTTCACCGTTGACTTAAGATTTAGAAACATAGAAACGTTGATGCACGAGGAGGCCACTACGTCTGTAACACTGGTACCCATTTTTCTAAGTCACCCTCTTTCATCACTACAGGCTGATCTCATTCTAACACAGTGATATGGATCTATAAAACCAGGGGCAAGATATAAAATAGCCACCTCATATGTGCAGGAGTTCCTCGTGGCATCATTTCCTAAACATCACAGACGCCCACTTTGCACAGCAAATGCATCTGGATTGCACACTGGACATGCAAGCTATGTCCTGGAAGCCATTGCTGGGAGCTAAAGGTGTCATGTACATCCACGGCTACGTTATGCCGGTTATACTACTTTTAAACTCTTTCCCCATGTTCCTTAACGTGTTTACTTCTCAGGTCCGTATCCATTTCCCTTTTGAGTTTCTCCTAGCGTCCTGGCCGACATCCCCCCCCAGATAAATTTGGTCATTCAGTTCACAGCCCTTTGTGGAACATCGGTGTGCATAAATTAGCTGTTGTATTCTGCTACAAATACATATTTATTTTAAATGCATTAACACTTAGCCGGAAAATCATAAGAAAAAATAATAATAATATTTTCGCCCGCAAAATAAACAGTCACCGCTAATTCCACCTGTCCTGAAGGAGGTTACTCATATTAAGGTAATGGTCACGTGGGCCATGATGGCCCTCTAATAATTGGTCACCAAAATGTTCTTCAAATGAGCATCATAGCGACCATCAAAATAAAGGTCGTTCTCATCAGAGATGCACAAGATTTTAAAAGGGATTGAGAAAGTAAATCTAGAACAATACTTTTGAATGCACTGAGGCAGCAGAAGAGAACACGGGGTCGAGGATTCCAGAGAGGAATTTCATGACAGACACCAGGAAATATTTCTTTACCCGGTGATTAATTAATGCTGGCACAGATCACCAGGAAAGGTGACTGAAATCAGGACACCGGACACTCATTTAGCAAAGAGGCTTAATCCTGGGATGGGCAGATGGTGGAGGGGTTGTTCTGAAAGGATGGTCCAAAGGGCCAACTTCATCTGAACTGACCCATGTGATTTTAAATCTAAACACAGGCACTACCTGCAGCAACTCGATTTATTTTAAACAAAACTCATGTTGCAAAATACTACCAAACATTGTCTCACATGAATCCTGGCATTATTATAGCTAAAATCAATGGATTCATAAGCAAGCAAGTAATCTGCAAAGTCAATGTGTTCCAAATTATTTAAGACCATACAGAAACTATAGCTTACCACAACAAAACCCCTTGCATTTACCCCAAAGTCTATTTCATCTGCTCTGACCATCTTGCCACATTTGCCCCTGCTATTAATAAAGGCATAGGTTTGAAAGATAAATTATTATTGAGAATAATGTTAGCAACATTTCCAAGAAAGGATCTGCCTTGTCTCACATTTAAATTGCTCCAATTTAGAACGCCAAGTTACCCAGGTATTCAGATTTCTAAACAAGATACACATTAAAATTAAATATCTGAGTTCCGAGTCTTCGCTTTGATTCTATAATTCTTCAGCATTTTGGACTTACCTCTCCTACCCCTGTGAGACTGCATCTTGGGATTAATAAAATTGTATTGGCAGCATAGCTCTTGCTGACAGATGCTGGCATTCTTCACTACCACCTGGGGATCTGGCTGGCTGCCTGCACCTTGTCAACCAGCTTTCACTTTTTAACACATGATTTACACAACCTCAGCATAGCCCGATGAACGCAAATCTGAACGGACTGCATGCTGCTCAATGGAACGGAGAGGAGAAAGAAAAAAGGGCCCGTCTGCCAAATACCTCGTGCCCTGAGCAATCCCTGCCGATTACATCTCAGGCAAAAAAAAAAAAAAAAAATCCTTTGGAAAAAAAAAACTTACCCACATCACTTTATTTTAATGTTGAAAAATGTCTGTCAATGTTGTTCACTGGGAATGTTTGATATATAGAGTAGTTACTCCATGTCAAGATACAAATCAAATTCCTTTAGTTTTGAATGTTTCTAAAAGAAACATTAACGTAATGGGCAATATTAAATTCATAATAGTTCTTCAAATATTATGAATTTATTTGAAGAAGCAGTAAACCCCTCTCTGTAGCCAAGTGGGTCAAAACCTGTCAAAGATTAAGTGTGCCTCAAATTCGCTTCTCCATCATTGACAGAAAGAACCTTTACAATGCATAGAACTAAACAGAATTACACGGCATGGAAACAGGACATTTAACCCAACTATTTGTGCTGGTGCTCATATCAGTCCCATCTCTCTCCTTTTCTCTCATATATGCATCAAGTTTTATCTTAAATGCATTGATCCTTTTTGCTTCAACCACACCAGTGAGTTCCATATTCTCATTACATCCAAAACACGCTATTAGATCTACAATTATCTAGTTGACATATATTTATGCCCTCTTGTTTCAGAGCCACAAGTGGAAACAACTTTATCGATGCCCACCTTATTGAATCCTTTCACAATCTGAAACACCTCTATTAGGTTTCCTCTCACTTGTCTCAACTCTGGAGAAAAGCTGCAGTCTATCCTGATAACTATATCCACACGTTGCTGATAATATCCTTTGTAGATCTATGTATTCTCTCCAATGCTACAATATCCTTCCTGCAATATGGTGACCAGAACAACTATATATTATCAACGGACAGAAAGCTTTCTGCTTCCCCTCAAGCAATATTTAAATGGAAACCATATCAGGTTTTTGGGGTTGCTAATTTGTCAGAAAGCAAAGCCTTGGCCAACCTTGGGAATCCAAAAGTTGGCTTTATTAAATCTCAAAATGGTGAATCGTTAGATTCTTCCCATTTTTGACACCGTTGGCCCATTTTTATGGATGTAAGATCCAACTGTAAGGAATACCACAGATAAGTAAGATCCAGTCGTCATCCAACTGACAAATTCAATTCCAAAAGGGATACTAATATTCAGAAGAAGCCTTGAAGAAATGTGTCTTTCAACTCCAGTACAAAGGCTAATTTGACCACGCTCAATTATCACAGGGAAGGTTCTCAATCTACAAGTTTTAAAAAATCTAAATGGCTCTGGATACCTGGTCCATTAACCCATGGAGCCACCAGACACAACCCGATTTTTAACTCACAAATTGATTCTCTCCCCTGGTAGAGATAGGAGAGAATTTTAACTTAACGAACCAAGCCCTGATATCACTATCAGCTATGGTCGTATTTATGTCTTACCATTGGTCCACGGTCTCCTTTTGAACCTGGAGGTCCCCTCAACAGTGGATCACTTGTATAGCTTTCCATGCCAAAGGTTTGGAATTCATCTGAGGCAGCAGGTGTTACAGGTATAAGAGTATTGGTATCTCTAGTGTAGTGTGGAGTCGTTAGTATTAGTTCAATTTTCTTTTTTGCTGGCTGTTTGTCCTGCCTTCGCAGTTGGTCTTCTACATATTCAACAGTAATTGCCTTCTGTGTCCAAGGTTGACTCTCAGTTGATTGGTATTTTGGCTTCTTTCTGACTGATTTGGCCCAAGCTGGAGTTGCTATCATTTTTACAGTTGCTTTGGTTTTATTTTTGGTGTTGTCTTGTTCTGTCCGGTTATCAGTATGTCTTTGGTTGATGAGTTCTCCCTGCCTCTGCATTGTTGTGTTTTCCATTACCAAGTCTGAAATTGTGCGGGATAGCATCGTGGCAGGTGTTGGAGGTGGGAATTTGACGTTCAGAGGAGCTTCAAGAAACTCAGTGCTTGGAGGCAATGTTGGAGCTGCTGGTTGAAAGTGGGAAGTAACAATGCCTTGGTGACGTTTGAATAGCACAAAAGGCAAGGTCGTGGTATTGTAAGTTGAATGTTTATTGGTGAGGTTTGGTAATCTCTCTGTGCCCGTCATGGCAGTTCTCTCTGTATATCTGTCACCTTTTTGGGTGGCCTCCTGCAACAACAGCGGTGAAGGCGAAGTCACAGAGGAATTGGGAAAACGTGGTAATAGAGGAAGCAGTGGGAGAAGGTTTAGCCGATAGATGTCTGCCTGCCTGCACTGTTTTTTTATGTATTTGCAATAGTTATGAGCTGCCTTCGCAGAGGGATAAATATCAAACTGACAGATGGCTCCTTCAAACTGAACCGAGTTTTGGTTCATCTTTCCCAAAAGAAAAGAACCTTCTGGGTCTAAAGAATCTTCTTTTCTGAAATGCAAGTTCGCGTTAGTACGATTTTTCCCGCAAGAAGTATACAGGGTGACCTTTCGGCTTCTGATGTCAATGGCCATGTGGTGCCACTGTCCATCGTGTACGTCATAATCAAAATATACAGACTGTTTGTGTCCCACGTACACAATGATCTTGCCTGGTATAAACTGTACGCCAAGCTGCAATCTTTTCTTCCTACTCCGAACGGAAAATAAAAAAGCATTGTTGATGCGGTGCGAGCACAGGCTCAGAACAAAGGCGAGGTTAGTGCCGTATGAGGCGGGGATGAGTCCTGCAACGGGAGTTTTGATGCGAGCCTTCTGAGTGAGGATGACGCCCGATTTAAAAGGAATGACCCCCCGAGGTAAGGAGCGGGATGTCGTAGGTGGCGCTGACAGTGTTTGTGCTTTTTTCCCAGTAAGGCCCAGCCTCTGGAGAACGTCCACATCTGGAAAATAAAAAAAAGACACATGCGTGAAATGCTAAACCCACATTGATCAGGCCCACTCCATTCGTCTCTGTTGTTCCTTCCTGGGACTATTCCAATAATCTGATTACTAAATTATTATTATGAGTTATTAGATAATTAGCGTTCCGTCCAACATGAAGAGGCCTATAATAAATGCAAGCTGTTGTTATTAAAATTCTACCCGTTCGTTGAAACAGAGGGTAAAAAAATTACAAGTCCCGTGCTAACAGACCAGACGCACTGTATCATTGCAAAATACACTACTTTTATTTTCTCACAAACTCGATGGTCTTGGAAGTAATAGCGATAATTGATTCATCAAAATTTCTTAGGATTTGAAGAAATATCAATCGAACCGTGTTTTAGATTTTTATTATTATTACATGAATTCCGAGGGCCAACCATTTCGAAGGGCCCTGATAGACTACCTATCTCAGCCTTGTTATAGACCCCAACCATTGCATTATAACAATGCATTGTTGGAGATGCCATCCTTCGGATGAGATGTTAAACCGAGATCCTGTCTGCCTGTTCAGGAGGACGTTAAAGATCCCATCATTTGAAAAGAGGAGGGAGTTTCTCCCGGGCCAACAAATCCCCCAAATAAAATGAAAACACTCATTTCTTGGCTGTCTGTGGGACATTGCTGTGTGCAAACTGGCTGCCGTGAAAATGGAAGACGTGCTTAGCACTAATTTGGTGATAAAGCACTTAAAGTGTGGACCTCAATCACTGTGGAAGTGGGTGATTAGCCCACTTGCTTCTCACGCGCCAGAACTGTCATTAAAATAGCTGACTTCCAGGTAAGTCAATTTACTTCCAATGCCACTTCTTGCACATTACACGTAGCAACACAGAGGAAGTGATGTCACTGGTGACCGATTCACCTGGAAATCAATGTGAAACATGCTATATAAATGGAATTTCTTGGAGGTTGGCTTTCTTTTCCAGCACATGAACAAGCACATAAGGCAAGTTGAGTAGTTGTGTGCACGTGTAGGGAAACCGACTATCTCAGCCTTGTTATAGATCCCAACCATTGCATTGTAACAAGGCCCCACTATATATCCTGCCAGGTTCTTACTTTTGCCCGTATAACTGGATGTCTCACTAACAGGGGCAAGAACAGCAGCAATAGAAATGAACTTGAAATGAGGCAGACTGCTTCATTCCAACAAATGAATGTTTCTCTATACGGAAATCCTATCCATCATGGATCGCGATTGAACAGCCCAGAAAGAGAGCTTACAATACAGCAGAAGCTTTGACCCTTCAATATTTCTCTCTTCAACGCTTTGTTTCTGCTCCAATTTTCTCCCTTCCTCTCTCATGGCTCCCAATTCTCCAATGCAACCCCGATTGCTGTTTTTCTGAGGAATTCTTCAATTCCTTCTCAGCTACAGGACTCATTCAGACTTGGATCAAAATTGGTTTCAAACACCTTAAGAAAAAAAATCTAGCACCATCTCTAAGTGGCAACTGATTTTTGGTCCAAGACAGCAAATGCTGTCACAATATGTGACTGACATCATACCTGAACCCTATCCTGTCGTTACCCAATGGCCAAACATGTAAGGTGAGGGTGATGGACTCCCACTAGTGTGGGAGAGAATACGGGCTGCAGGGTTCTGGAAGGTATGCAGTTTGTGTAAGAAGGAATTGGGCAGTGCAGTTGGAGGGTGTCAGAATAATCCAGTCCCAGAGATGACCGAAAGTGGAGATGAGGGTCTCAGCAATCTGGGGAGAAATGGATTGGGGGGGGCGGGGGTGGTGGTGGGCAAAGTTGTGGAAGTGAGAGAAAGCTAGAGCAAGTGATGGCCCAAACGACAGCGGGCTTCCGCCATTCACAAGTGCCTGGAGTTGGGCGAGGAATCAGCGAGGAACACTGGGGAACAAAGCAGAGAGGGAATAGGAGGAGTCAAATCATGATTGATTGACAGCTGGAGCTGGTTGTGAGTGCCCATCCATTCCCAAGCGGCTCCAAGGCTGTCAATCATCTATAATAATAATAATAATAATAATAATCCTTGCATTTGATATAGCGCTTTTCACGTCGGGAGGACGTCCCAAAGCGCTTCACAGAACACACTGTAAAGTGAATTGACTGTATATTTGTGGGCGAACGCGGCAGCCAATTGCGCACAGCAATGTCCCACAAACAGTCGTGGATTGAAAATGACCAATTTATTATTGTTTTGGTTTTGGAGGGATTATTATTAGGCGTGTGGAGTAAGGAAACTTGCCCAAGGTTTCGCCCTCTGCCTGGAATTGAACTCAGGTCTCTAGCTTGCAAAGCGAGTGCTCAACCACTGAGCTACAGGACTTCACCTAATTGATCCCCTTCCCGTCCAATGGGAACGGTAATGGGAGGGAGGAAGTGCGGTCCATCTGCTGGGCAGGAAGAGGACAATGGTATGGGGGTTAACCTCGGACGCCGCTTAAGCCGGACAAAATGGCCGATCCCGATGTATCCTTGCTGTTCCCTGAAGAGAGTGAACGATAAAAGTGCAGCCCCTTCTCTACACATGTTCGGAAGGACAGTGTCCAAGCAAATACAGTCAAGGTCCACCCTGAAACCACGAGGAGCCACAGTGCCACACTTGGAGGCAGGAGCAGATCTACAGCATTGTAAGCTGGAAAGAATAGCATCTTATTGGTGAGCTGGTACCTCAAGATTCACACCTCTGATACCTCTATAGTATTTTCATCCATACTTGGATTTGTGCGCTATTAGTACCTCTTTGAATTCAGGAAGCTAGATACGGAGAGATTGGAAACTTTTTTGGGGGGAGGAAGAAATAAAATAAAATTAACCATTTGATTTAAAAAGTTGAATGCACTTGAAAGACTGAGTTTGAACTCTCTCCATTTCAGCAAATAGTAAACCTCTGCTGTTCTGACATATGGACAGGATTAAAGGTGGCTGCCCCACAATATTCTGTTTGTATCAGCATTCCACATAAAATTGTTTAATTAAAATGCTACTTTTCCAGTGGACCACATCCTTCTCTAATCACTGCAGAATCTGTATTTCATACAAAAAATGGGATGAAAACTTGCCACATGTCCTAGAAAATAGCTGCAGAAAACATTCCAAAACTAACCAGGACCTGTTGTGCTTATATATTCTATGAACACTTGAGAAAGAATTCAATGGTAGCTTTTTTTAAAAAAAAATCTTAGAGACATACGTTTAAGCCAGCGGAGATTTACAGAAATATTCACTACACTGATTCTATTTTAAAATAGCAAACACGAGGGGATGACAGAATTTTCTTTAGAAGGGAGATGAAAACAGAGAAGAAACACTCAAAAGACTAAACGTGGATAGATTAAACAATCTGATTTCTTTAAAATTTTTCCTGTTTCAGCCCCTTATTGGGCCCCTTTCGTTCTCCCATTTCCTTGTGCTGCCTCATTTCTACCTTCAGGCGGGACGCTGGGATCCGTTTGACTGTGAACTTTTCCATGCTATTTTACGAACGCCAAAAATGTATATTTTTATGAATTTGCATAGTAATTCGTTCTAACTGCTGCACAACGAACGCTATGAGCGGCCATTAGGAACTTTAGGATGAGTTTTCTTCCTGTCTTGAGGGAGAGTGACTCATGCTTCAGTAGTTCCAGGGGCACCAGCCGCCCTCGGACACTTATGTCTGGACAGTGCGTGCCGCAAGCAGACAACTAAGTGTATGACATCTGAGCTCAATCTTTCTTCGTTCAACGCATTAAAATAGATGGCAGCAAAATGCAGAAATATAGGGAGCGCGTTCAAAAAAGGGCGGGGATTTATTTGCTGGGCATTGCTTAAATAAAATTGGAATCCAAATTTAGCGCAGGATCACACATCGTAAATCTGCAGTAATGATAATAATAATAATAATCCGTGCATTTGATATAGCGGCTTATCACATCTCCGAGACGTCTCAAAGCGCTTCACAGGATATACTGTAAAGTGAAACAGAGCAATTCTGTTATAACATGGTAATCCGAGTCCAATCTCAACCCCCACCCCGTTAAAGTGAAGCCCCCCCAAAAAAGGCAAATTTACAGATCATCGGCTTGCCATTAAAGTCACTTTGTGTGTAAAGTGCAGATTATTGTCAGGGTAACCCCATAGCGCAAGATTGCACATCACCACAAGTATACAGTCATCCAGTTATAGCCTGAGCAGTACACTGTTCAACTTGAGCACGACTCCAAATATCTTCGTGGCTGTTTATCTGCAACAGGTTATGAGCACCCTCGAGTATTTGTGCCTTTTTTGTCGGTGGCACAAAGGTAAGTCTTCAGACTAGGATTAATGTCCGAGATTGTGACAAAGACTGTCATTGTGGGGCTGATCCATTCCCTCAGGGCGGAGGTGATCAATTGCCCCCTTCGTTGGTGAGGATGGCAGCTGGTCCATAGCCTCCTTGTTCCCTGAGGGTGAGTTGGTGGGCCATTTTCCCCCCAGATCCTGTAATCCAGTGAGTTTGTGTTCAGAATTCCACTCACTACAACAACTTGCACTTATATATAGTCCCAGAGAGTTTATCCACTTACACACCCCTACTGCACACAGTATAAGTTTGGCAAGAGAACCTGTCCGAAACCTCATTACTCGAGACGTCTTTGGCTGCAATCCAAACCATGACTCAAACTTTACATCTGTTAAATTCTTCGTCCCAGTTTATATGCTATCATTAAACTGTATCACTTCTGCATTTGTTGTGGCTCTGTACACAGTGCTGGCTCCAGTGAAGAAAATAATGAGAAACATTCTTAGCTCTGAATCCATCACACATGCTTCTTTTAGGTGTCAGACTTTGGCAATGGATGACGTAAGATTTGTGGAGAAAATCCTTGTACACTTGCTGACTTCATTTTCAACTTAAAACAATGCAGATATTCTCAAAGTATACTCCGTAGTCATTTCAACACCAATGCAATATTTGGTTATGTTAACACAGTCTGTACTGTAGAAGAAAGTTCGCAGT